GAAATCTTTTTCTAGTTTGTCTAAACTCCATTTGAATGTAATCATGAACTGCGGCGACGGCGCACATGAGAAATCACTCAGTGAAGTTGCTGTGTCCTCAGCGCGAGCGGTTGAAGAGGCTTTTAGAGTAAGTGGCTGGCAGGGATGAGCTGGGAGTTGCCCGTGTTTGATTGTGTAAGGGAGAAAGATGAATGCTAATGTGATTTCTGCATCATGGCTGGGCATGGAAATTGATAGGTATGTTTTTTGGCAACAAAAAATGAATCAAATAGCTCTATAAGTAATGAAATAACTTGCTTGGAAAATTCCAGCGGCTCTTTTCGCATGCTGACAGCGCAGCCTGGACAGTGTGACTTCTTTATTTGTTTTTGTAGAAGATACGCAGCCTCTCATGCTTGTGGTTTAGCTGTGCAGTATCTATGGTGAACATATAAATAAACATGAAGCTGTGCGACGCTACGCTGCAGCTCTCGGACTGAACTGCCCTTCACAGCTCCGTGCTGCACTGCTAAACATGCCTCGCAGAACACTTGTCATTTACAAGCTAGTAAAGGACAACTGAGCCCTTACATAGCAGCTGCGTGGTGCACTGGCACAGGGCGGTATTTACAAAGGAGGCTTCCGAGATTCCAGTGTCTTCCTGTAGAAGAGGCTCCTCGGATGACTGGAGGGCTGCCAGAGACACTCTGCGCTTCAAATGACCTTATCTGGTTGGACAAAAGAGTCACCTTAAAGGAGCTTATTTCATTGAATCCCGACGACTGATAGAAATAAAACTGCAAAGCTTGTTCTTATTAAGTATTTATGCAATGCGTGTTGTCATTTCAATTTATATTTTGGGTTCAGTACAAGTTAACCTCTATTGACAGCATTTGTGGTGAAATGCCAATTTAGATTAATTCATTTATCTGTTATCTTTAAAAAAGCACAAAAAAGAAGCAATTCAATGTTGTTATTGTTTAAAATAAAAATTCATTTCGATTTTTGCGGCATACAGTCAAATTTCAGGGTGATACAATTGTACTAAAGAAGTTTAGTTGAAAGAAAGTCATGTGGTGCAACCAGCAGTATCCAAAACATGAAGAAAAAAAACAAGAAATTGTAGAGAAGGCCCCTTCAGACCCTCAAGACTGTCTGTTTCAATAAGTACTGTATCTTAAATTATGTTTTTAAGATACGTATTCTGATCAATTCTGGTGTAACGTCATGTGGCACAACACCCCGAAACCGTATGAATTTCTTATATTTATGAATTAGTAATTCACAATTTTGTTAGAACATATACTTTTATCTTATCAATATCTTATTTCTAAAATAATGATTGATGTTTATATTTATGTATTTAACGCAATTTGTTTTGTTTTTATTTGATAGTTACACCACATGACATATTAGTTTGTCATGACTCATTTAAACATTTAAACATTTCTTAAAAATGTATGCGTTTTAAACTATATTTTCAAAAGATTAAATCATGGGTTTTTTGTCATTGACCTGAATCTGGACTTACAGTAAAATAATCATTTTTCATGTAGCACCATTCAAACAGGATGAGTTTACCAAAAATAATAATACAATAATAATAAATTAAAATAACAAAGAAATGACAATAATAGAAAAAGAAAAAATACTAAATTAAAATATATATATATATATATATATATATATATATAAAACGAAAAAGTGCAGAGTGAATTTCAGTTAAAATCACAGTATTATAGACACTTTACAAGACTTGTACAAGGGTAAAAAGAAAGAAAAAAAGTCATTATTTACTTACCCTCATGCCATTCCAAACTCAAATGCATTTAAGATCTCTTGCTCCATAGACTCTAAGTGCATTAGCATAACTGCAAAATTTTTCAATTAAAAACAAGTGCTGTTAATAGAGCTTTTTGAGCCCAGACCATTCTTTTAATGATGCACTGCTAATGCCTTTTGACTTTGACTTTATTGTCAAATGGTAAAGGAAGTCATACTGAAGTGGAGACAGAAGCCACTAATGAGTTTGAGGGTTTTAGGGGGCTGGGGGCTGAAAACACTCAGATCCAACAGCACTAGAAAAAAAGCACAAATTAACAAGCCTTAGATGAAGCTACTGTATCTCTACCCGCTGCTCAAATGACAAAAATAATGAGCTACAACGTTGACATCCATATTACTCTGTTGCGTGTGTAGTTCTCTCTCAGCACCTCTGCTGCTGTCTTCAGTGCATTCCCCTGTAATCCACTCTTGCGGCAGCTATAGCCACTGCGTTTTCTCATAGAGGGATTGTATGCCGTTGTGTAACAGCGGTAGCGTTGTTTATTTGGTAACCACACTTCTGAAAACTGTAGTAGCCAGCTAGGCAAAACTTAATTAGAGACGATTCATTCCCCATCATGCCAGATGGTTATGGCTGGTTTTCCAAAAATGAGTGAGGCAACTTATGGTTGAGACATTTATAACAGGAACAGATGGGTTTTATCTATTGCATCCATGTGAGCTCATTAATGCAGCCAGGAATACAAGGTTCATTTACAGCTCTTTATAATTAGCTGAGAACACTGACACTTGTGCAGCTAAACTAGGATCTGTGATGACAATTCTGAAAACTGTAGTAGCCAGCTAGGCAAAACTTAATTAGAGACGATTAATTCCCCATCATGCCAGATGGTTATGGCTGGTTTTCCAAAAATGAGTGAGGCAACTTATGGTTGAGACATTTATAACAGGAACAGATGGGTTTTATCTATTGCATCCATGTGAGCTCATTAATGCAGCCAGGAATACAAGGTTCATTTACAGCTCTTTATAATTAGCTGAGAACACTGACACTTGTGCAGCTAAACTAGGATCTGTGATGACAGCTCACTGTAGATTATAGATATGAAGAATAGGAGCAAGTAAGTATTATAACAATGTTTTAATGCAACAATTTCAGTCGAGTGTCAAGTTTCTCCTAGACAGCAATGAGACTAAAGGGTAGCAAATGGAGACTGGAAAACAAATAGTATTTTGATGTGTTCAAAAAATATCTCAAGAATGTCTCAAACAGTGCTCAGATTGGTTCAGGCTATAGAGTCTGACATCAAAAGTCAGAGGTTTCAGTGTGAACATTGCAACAAGCAAATCATCTCAGCTGTCCACACTGATTTGATTGATTTTACTGTATATCAAAATCGTCTCGTTTTAATTCATATTTTCGGAGATAAACTTGATACCTAAAGGGATAGTTCACCTAAAAAGGAAAATTCTGTTAACAATCCAAAATCCATAAGACTTTCATTCATCTTCAAAACACAATAAAGATGAAACCTGAGCAATTTTGTCCCTCCATTGAAAGTCCATTCCACCAAAACTATCACATATAAGCGCTGATCAATACAGATACTCATAGCGCATCAAATATGTTAATCAAAAGTTTAACCTTAAAGGGATAGTTCACCCAAAAATTTAAATTCTGTCGTTCCAAACCCGTAAGACCTTAATTCATCTTCGGAACACAAATTAAGATATTTTTGTTGAAATCCGAGAGCTTTGTGACCCTCCATAGACAACAAGGGAACTACCATGTTCAAGGCCCAGAAAGGTAGTAAGGACATCATTAAAATAGTCCATGTGACATCAGTGGTTCAACCGTAATTTTATGAAGCTCACGGGAATACTTTTTGTGTGCAAAGAAAACAAAAATAATGACTATTATTTTATAGCTTCATAAAATTAAGGTTGAACCACTGATGTCACATGGACCATTTTATTGGTTGTCCTTACTACTTTTCTGGGCCTTGAACATGGTAGCTCCCTTGTTGTCTATGGAGGGTCAGAAAGCTCTCGGATTTCATCAAAAATATCTTACTTTGTGTTCTGAAGATGAACAAAGGTCTTACAGGTTTGGAACGACATGAGGGTGAGTAATTAATGACAGAATTTTCATTTTTGGGTGAACTATACCTTTAATTGGGTGATGTTTAGAACAAACCTCATCATTTACATCAAGCAAGCACATCTGAGCTTCTGCTTATAACATACAATGAGCTCTATTTATGTGTGATCAGTGTTTTATATGAATAAAAGCCTAAATCTGTTCGTCATATAAAGCGGTTGTGGTTCATATGGAGGACTTTTATGCTGCATTTATGAAGTTTTTGAGGCTTGAAAATTTGGTGGAATGCTCTTTCAAAGGAGGGACACAAATCTTTCAGGTTTTATTAAAAATATCTTCATTTGAAGATGAAGTTGAACAAAAGTCTTAAGGGTTTGAACGAGAGTGAGTAAATGATAACAGAATTTTCATTTTCAGAATTTTCACTCAGAAATTTCAAGTCAAGCTTATTGAGCTATAAAAGAGCGACATCTGAGGATCGAAAATCAGATCAAGACTGTAAATCGGGAATTCCCACAGTTTTATCCTGAGATAACTGGCCACCAAATGTCATATTTTGCATCGAACATTTCTAAAATATTGTAAATCTAAAATAAAAATGACCTAAATTAATCTCTCGCGTCTTTAAAACCAGAGTGGCCAAAATGAGAAAGTGATTTATGTAGGAATCTGCGCTGTTGCTTCGGTGCAGGTGGTAAGCTGTAATTCCCTAAAGACTGTATCACCTGCTTCACCACACGCTTTGCAGCGAAAACAATTGTTATGCTGCCGTGTGCATGTGGAGATGTTAAGGGTGGCGATATCAATAAATTATAGTGATATTAAAAGCGCAGGGGTTGACTCGCCTGGAGGCTGCCCCTGTTATGAAACAGGCTTTTAGCATTTTCTCGGGCTCTCCGCCTGTCAGCCTAAATCTCGCTCAAGCATCCAAAATGAGTCGAGAGGAAAAGACCTGAGGTGTGGAGGTGGCCGTTAAAGAGGAGACGAGGAGGAGGCGAGGGGTGGGTGGGGGGGTCTTGTCCCGAGCCTCGTCTTAAAGAGTGGGAAGGGTGAGATCTCATTGTCAGTCGCAGTCAGTCAGGCAGGCGGGTGAGACGCTCCGCTCTCATCTCCCCGGATCTCTGTCTCCCTGTAGGTAATTACACCGTTCCGAAGGCTTATCCTGTGCGCCGAGAACAGGAAAGAAATGGAGGACTGGATCAGCTCGCTGAAATCAGTTCAATCCAGAGAGCATTACGAGGTAAGAACGCTGTTTGACTTGAGTTGCATCTTGAACTATCACTGTTTTTCAAACACACTTCTAAGATGCATGCCTTAGAATCCCCTCAACTGTTTTCAATCAGGTCCTGTGTATTTCGCCACATGCTTTGGGTGTTCAAATCCAGCTTCTAAACATACCTACTTTCAGATTTCCTCTTCTCTTCTCATATGCATCTGAAATATTATGCATAGATATCATGTTATGTTTAAAATAGTTCTGGAAAAAGGTATTTTGCTCTGTTTGTTGTTGCTAATTGACCGACTCTAATTGTGCATGTGTGCATGTGGTGGTTTTTAACATCTGACACCAGTAAATGAAAGAGCGGACTGCAGTGTTGAGTGTTGACTGTACGCTCACTTTGATATGAGATGAAGATGGTTATGTAAGACTCTCAGCCCCCGTGTTCTGCAATACCACACCCAGAACTCCAGCGCTCCGCTGGCACCCCTGACTGGGGGCACCGTCCTCCCTATTCAATTGTTTTAACATTCACGACGCATCAAACCGTCAACTGGCCTCTTAAATCACTGTTCTGTTCCTTTAGGGTACTGCAGGTAGATGCCCATGCCGGTGTGGTGTTGCATGCCGGAGGGTTGTGTGTCATACACCTGCGGCTGTTAAATGTGTGCCAGTCTGTGTGATGCATGTTTGTGTATGAGAGCTGAAAAATTTAGCCTTTGTTTTAAGGGCTCTGAAAAAGTCTTATCCTGGCACTGCCAATTTGTCTTAACTTCTCCTTTGCTAGACGGCACAGTTTAATGTGGAACATTTCTCAGGGATGCACAACTGGTATGCCTGCTCCCACGCTCGCCCTACCTTCTGTAACGTCTGTCGGGACAGCCTCTCAGGGGTCACTTCTCATGGCCTCTCTTGTGAAGGTAGGTCTCTGTTCATCTCTCTCGGCTTCTCAAACCCGTGTGTCGGATAATCCCTCTTTAATTATGAAGCTGCTTCACTCAGCTCGCTGTCCTTCCCCAAAGGTGTAATTTTTTTATCAGAGTTGGTCAAGGGTGGTCAGGGATGGCTCAGGGCTGCATTAGAGTGGATTGCACTGGTCAAAGCTACTTAGTGCAGAAGCACAGCTAATTGAGATGGGGAAAAGATCTGGACAGAAACACAATGTAATAATAAATCGATACACTGACGCCGGGTATCTGTCTTTTATTTGTTTATAATTTCCACTTCAAGGATATGATGTGTTTGCTTTTTATATTAAAATGCACATCAATCAGATAAAAACGGTTGAGATTGCAGATATAAAAATCCTTTTCAAGCAGGTATACTGAACACTCCACCTGTCTGCCGCAGAACCACTTTTAAAGTCAACTTCAAACACCAATCACAGCCAACTGTGCTTCAGTAATCTGACATCTTTTTTGAATGAAATAGGATATTCAACGATAATTAGAATGGGCTTGTAGAATGAGATTGGATTTGATCTGTCTGGAATTTTTGGGATCTTATAAAGGGGGAATGGAAGGGAAGGGTTGAAAAGACGGATTGAAGGTGAATTATTGAAAAGTAAAAGGTTTTTCTGGTTAATTTCAGTAGTTAGATCCTACTGTTAGATGCTACACCATATGTGGGCATTTTTCAGCTGATGGTAGTTCAAAAGCAGCTGTGTATTAGAAAAAAACAACAACAAAAACAATGAAAACAAAAAAAAATAATATTTATATTATATTATATTACCATTAACTAAAAGTAAAAGAAAAAAAACATAAAAAAATCATTAATTAAAACAAAATAAACATTAAGTGAAAAAAAATATATATATATATATATATATATATATTTGAAAAAAGTCAAACTTAAAATTGTTTTATTTCAGCTAGTTGCTAAGACAACATTTGTCATTTTCATTTAGATTAACTTGAAGTACTAAAATATCCAAAACTAAATAAAAGTAATAAATAAAAATGTATATATATATACGATATACGATACGATACATTAAAGATACATATGAAGCAGCTACTGATGCGATAGGATTCACCCCTGTTACGATGCAGTGCGATCCGATTTTGATTCGATTCAATTCAACACAATGCGATTCGATGTAATACGATGCAATGGAGAAAATATGATCACTTTTAATGCCTCGAGGCCTGTTTTATAAAACACATTTATCAAATAAGCCAGGCTTATTTCAGTTAGTCTGACTCATTGTCAAATGATTTGGTTCCATAAAGCAAATTTAACATCAAGCTTAGTCACTGTGGCAACTTATGCTGGGAAAGTAACCTGGTCTAAAGCAGGCTGTCAGACTAATATGTTCCTCTAACACTGACCAATAGGAAAGGAATTATATTACCACTCTCTCACATACTATTATTTGACTTTTTTTACAGTTTCTAGCCGTGCAGCCTTTCTCTCTGGTTTTATGACAGCTGCACCTTTTATAGTTTGCGGAACAGATAGCAGAACATTAGAACATTAGAACAATCTAAAATTATTCTTTAAAGCATTAAAATAACTAAATTAAAAGTTAAAATCACTGAATTAAAAATAAATAATGAAGAAACGATAAGAAACACACATTAACTCATTTGAGCTTAATAATTAGGACTGTACTAACTTACATTTGATTTACCTATTACAATAGTCCCTTTACAGTTACTGCTACTCATATACTCTTACTCATAAAAATACACTTACATGTAGGTTTAAAAATCTACAAAAGACACATTTAATGTCCAACAACAAATATTTTAACAAAATGTATATTTTACTCAAAATTATTGCGCTCCGTTTGTTTAGCGCACATGCGTGCAGCTGCGGTCGTTGCTCTCGTGTAAGCCTCGCCCACTCCTGACAGCAAAAATTTATATATTTGCATGACTGTCTAACATTTACACATGGAGAATTCAACTGTGACATGTCCGTTATGCACAACGTCTCAGATGCATTAAACCGCACAGATATATTCGCTGTTAGCCATGGTGGATCGATTTGATCCATGATCGACATTAAGGGCTGCTTAAGAATAAGCGTGCATAAATTAGTGACATTGTGTGAACTTAATTTATTGTGTATGGTACCGCTTTAGCCCCGATTGACTTGTTCGATTATTTCAAGTCAGGTTTTGGACTTTAATCCCAGTTTTTCCTCGGGTCTCTCTGTAGTGTTGTGATTCGTCATATTCACGCAGCAGCAGCGGTGATGAGAGAGCGCGCTTGAGAAACAGTTTAGAGAGGAGAAATCAATCTACATATAAAATATTGGTCACTTTCTAAATAATAAAAGTATAGCGCATCCACTAGTAATTATATATAAATAAATATTTTTTTACTGATGCAAATATGTTAGAAACGATGCAACGCGAATCGCGATATAAATGCCAACTTGTAGCCGATGCACTCTTTTTAAACTTTTAATGCCCAATGCACAGAGCGAATTGGGGAATCTTCCCATCCCTAATATGTATATATATATATATATATATATGGAATATCATGAGTCAAATATGAATACACAATATGGACATACTTATGAATAAAAGGGTAATCTGTAAAATAAAATAAAATAAAAGTTGTTTAAAATACTGACAGAAATGATGACTAATCACAGCACCTAAAATATATATTTTCCCGTGTACATTCATGAACATTTTGTGTATTTTACAGCTTTTTGTTTGTTTGTTTTCATATAAAATCTTGATGTTGAAGTTTGTGGCTATTTTTGAGTTATGTCTAGAGTCACCTCTAAGTACATGCTGGCAGGTTAAAACACTCTCACTAAAAATACCACATCCAGGATCATGCATTATGCATGCTAATGGTGTGACATCATGTGGAAAGAGAGTGCTAATTACTTTCAGAGATATGCAGATGGTGCTCATTAAACTCGGCTGACTTTCATTGGCTCTCACATAGCAGGAAGTAAAAATAGTAAGCCTCTCACTCACGCCTCAGTTTTAATGAGAAATGCAAGTGAAACTCACACTGCTTTGTGAATAATACAAGCCTCGTCATCACTGCCATCCTAATGTTTCCAAATGTTGATTTTCCACCAAAACATCAAGACGCCATTTAGTACGACAGTTTCCTGGGGTCACGTTGCATTAGACAAAAGTGGATTTGTGTGGTTCTGCGTGTGGTCGCAGTGTTCTAGAGAGCAATAATTTAGGAGCACTTTGCAGTGCTGTTGTCACGGCGTTTGCGTTTCCAACAAGCAGACTCACTCCTGAGTATTAATTACTGTATGTGTTACTGTGGAAAGATGATCTCATTTCTTTCAACAAACCTCTCATTACCATCTTCAAACCCAAGATCCGCTTGCGTTCACATGGAAATTGCTTTTGTTTCGGCTATTCGCAGACAATGGCATTAGAGTGGACTACTGAGTGAACGAGAAAGATTATTTACAAAACTGATAATTGCAGTCCTGGATGCTGATTGTAGCATTCTAGCTGTGCTAAATTACAGCTACAGTAACAGTTGACTCTGGACTGTTTGTTCTGTGGATGGCCCTTAATGAATCTGATGAATAAAATAATGTTTAAATGCTTCCTTAATATTTTTATTAAATATGAACTGTTTTAAAAAATCAATAAGGTTAGTCTTTAGTCTAACTGTGTTAGTCTTTGAAAATATTCTGCTTTTAATATAATCTAATCTAATTTAATCTTTTAAGTCCTTTTGATAAGTTCTGACAGAAATGTGCATTTAAATGAATCTGGTCAGAAAAAAATGCTTGAGCTAAGCACTTTCATATTTCTTCCTGTCTTTTTGGCTTATTGGCAAATACAGGACGCTTTTTAGCAGTAATGCAACAAAATTAAAATATTTTAGGTCTGTAGTTCTTGCTTTATGTTTTCATCTTTCTTGCACTGTTACAATGTATTTGCTTCATTAACTGGCTAAATAGGTTGTATTTTCTGACATGCTTCATCAATTTTCATTAATAGTAGTACACAATACTATATGCGTCTGAATTAAATTGTACAATCAACATCCACAATGAAAAATTGTATCATTCCAACATGATTTGAAAGCAGCTATAGACACAGATGAAGCTTTTCTCAATATATAGTATCAAGTATGCATCATTATTTCGTAATCATTTCAGCTTATTGACTTCCAAAGTGGAGTTAATTGGTAATTAGTTCATATTCTTGTAAAATCAACACAAGCTTTATTTTTTAGTCGAGACCAGCTCATTCGAGTCTGAGTCCAGATCGAGACCCAAGTAGTTTGAGTCTGGATTAAGACCAAGACATGAAGAGGGTTGAGTCTGAGTCAAGACTAAGACTGGAGAATGGTTGAGTCTGAGTAAAGACCGATACTTAAGGTTCAGGGTTGAGTCGTAATCAAGATTGAAACCTATAGAGGGTTGAGTCTGAGTCAAAACCGAGACCTAAACAGAGTTGAATACGAGTCAAGACCGAGACCTGAACAGGGTTGAGTCGGAATCAAGACTAAAACCTAAAGAGGGTTGAGTCTGAGTCAAAACTGAGACCTAAACAGAGTTGAATACAAGTCAAGACTGAGACCTGAACAGGTTTGAGTCAGAATCAAGACTAAAACCTAAAGAGGGTTGAGTCTGAGTCAAAACTGAGACCTAAACAGAGTTGAATACAAGTCAAGACCGAGACCTGAACAGGGTTGAGTCGGAATCAAGACTGAAACCTAAAGAGTGTTGAGTCTGAGTCAAAACTGAGACCTAAACAGAGTTGAATACGAGTCAAGACCGAGACCTGAACAGGGTTGACCAAGACCTTGAAAATATGATTGTGGGCTCAGACTCTTGTCCGGTCTTACACCTAATCATGTTGGCCAAACAAGGCACTGGGAATTAACTTTGAAACAGGATAACAAAGGCCAGACATAAGTGTTCAGCTAGTCAGCAGCATACGTTTGATGCGCTGGTGTCCCAACAAATCTTCTTGACTAGCTTAACCAGGTTCGCCAGCCAGTTCTTAGCAGTTTGGTCCAGCATAGGAATTCATTCAGGCCTACACTGGTCTTTTCAGCAGGATTCACCAAGTTGAGAGACTTGAAGTTTAGAACAATCATTGCTGCTTATATTTCACTTCGATTTCCTGCAGCAGCCAATCAATAAGGATTGATGTGAGACATGGGCCCCAACAAAAGAGGCAAACTCGATATTTCTCACTCTCTAATTTGACAGAGACATCCTGTCCATTAGCAGCGCATCGTAAACAGTCTTACGTTCACTCGGCATTACTGAATTGTCTGTAAATGGTTTGCTAACAGGCCTGAAAATGACATTAGAGTGATTTATTGGAGATTTGTTTTCAGAGCCATGTGAAATGGTCTGAGCGTAGACCAGCTCTGATTACAAGATGAGAGCGGAGCTCAAGCGAGATGAAGCGCTCTCTGATTGGCATTATGATTCTCTGAAGAGGATGCGCACTCTCTCGTCTCGTCTCAATAGATGAGTCTCCTCATTTATTATTGAGGAACGGCATTGCAGAAAGTAGAAGTTCTCAGCGTCGGACATACCATAAGCGCTGGGCTTCCTTTCCTGTAAACAGCCCCGTTCAGCCCATGCAGTATCCATTCTGGTGCTGGAAAACGCTAGGAAGGAAACACTTTCTGTGGTGACTGTGTGGCGTCCCGGCTAGCAGGGCTTGGCTGGGCTAAATGCTCTTCTGCGCTGACGTGATTAGCCGTGTCACCACAAATCTGTGTAATCCTACAGGACATTAGAAGCCCCGGCAGCATATGGAGGCGTAATGCGCTCAGACACTGAGATGGGCTGATTTAACTGGATTTTATGCCTTTTCAGGGTCTGATTCTTGGACTGTGGGCGCCAGTCAGCCCTGCGTGTACAGAACAGCTCGGACCCTGAACGTACAGGATGTTTAGTGGTTCTCTTGTAGAGACATCTGCACTGATTGTGGCATCTATGTTGGGAAACAGCTGAGTATGCATTTTAAGTTCGTAGGATTGGAGGTGGCCACGATAATGTGCTGAAGCGTACATTATGGAGTAGGAAGCCAGCCAGCCAATCAATCAGCCACTTAATTCTCCTTCTGGAAACGACCAGATGAACATTGCTAACTTGATTAGACCTGCAATGCAATTTAATAGAGGAAATCAACAAAGAACTATCGGCCATTAGCTTATTGGACCTCACCCACACCACTGGTGAGGACAAAAACAGCGCCTGTGTGGTTTAGAGGTCGAGTGAGCTGAAAGTTTCCAGAATTTAGAAGAAATCAATACATAATTCAAAATGCTTTGTCATGACAGATAGAAAAATAAGACAACCAGTCTATTGTTTCCCTACTTTATAAAGACTCATAGAGTAATGGATGCTAATAGAGATTAGAAAAACTATTTTTTTTTTCAAACTTTGAAAATAGTAATGCATATGTTATTGCCAGTGCTGCACAATAAATGTAACTGGCTTACTCAGTGTCATTAAAGAAATGTACTTATTGAAAATGTTAATATTGGGAATATCAACATATATAAATGGAATTCTGTCATGACAACTCTCGGAGGGATTGGTATTGTAATGTACATGACAATGTTAATGTATTTGGTCTTGGCGGAATAGATCTGCTACGCTGCTGCTGCAGCAGAGCAAGTACCGAGACTAGCTACTGCCAAAACATCCAGAACATGCTGCTGTGAGCATGTAAGAAATATTGCTGCTGCAAATATAACATACATGAAATAACCCCCATCATATATGAATACATCGTAGCAGATCTATACAGGTGGAGCTGGGGAAGGTGGAGGGTTTCTGAAGCAAGCTGCAACTGCTACGGCAAGCTCTAGTCATATATTTGAATGTTGAGCTACCAATACAGGAGAGAACCAATCAGCTGTGCCATGTGATAAAGACACATTAAACTGATCAAAAGTGACAGTAACTGACAGACATTTATCTATGTCAAATAAATGCTGGAACTTTCTAGCCATCAAGAATTCTGAAGAAAAGAAAAAAAAATTCTAAGCTTCAAAATGTTTCTACAAAAATATTGAGCAGCACAACTGTTTTCAACATTGATAATAATAAAAATGTGTCTTGAGCATCAAATCAGCATATTAGCATAATTTCTGAAGAATCATGTGGCACAAAAGACGAGTAATGATGCTGAAAATTCAGTTTTGCATCACAGGAATAAATTACATTATAAAATACATTGCAATAGACAACAATTATTTTAAATTGTAATAATATTTCACAATTTTAATGTATTTTTTTATTTATGCATGCAGCCTTGGTTAGACTTTTAGGATTTTTTTAGGAAAATGAAAATGGGAATATCAAGGCAAAATCTACATATATAAATGGAATTCTGTCATGACAACTCTCGGAGGGATTGGTATTGTAATGTACATGACAATGTTAATGTATTTGGTCTTGGCGGAATAGATCTGCTACGCTGCTGCTGCAGCAGAGCAAGTACCGAGACTAGCTACTGCCAAAACATCCAGAACATGCTGCTGTGAGCATGTAAGAAATATTGCTGCTGCAAATATAACATACATGAAATAACCCCCATCATACATGAATACATCGTAGCAGATCTATACAGGTGGAGCTGGGGAAGGTGGAGGGTTTCTGAAGCAAGCTGCAACTGCTACGGCAAGCTCTAGTCATATATTTGAATGTTGAGCTACCAATACAGGAGAGAACCAATCAGCTGTGCCATGTGATAAAGACACATTAAACTGATCAAAAGTGACAGTAACTGACAGACATTTATCTATGTCAAATAAATGCTGGAACTTTCTAGCCATCAAGAATTCTGAAGAAAAGAAAAAAAAATTCTAAGCTTCAAAATGTTTCTACAAAAATATTGAGCAGCACAACTGTTTTCAACATTGATAATAATAAAAATGTGTCTTGAGCATCAAATCAGCATATTAGCATAATTTCTGAAGAATCATGTGGCACAAAAGACGAGTAATGATGCTGAAAATTCAGTTTTGCATCACAGGAATAAATTACATTATAAAATACATTGCAATAGACAACAATTATTTTAAATTGTAATAATATTTCACAATTTTAATGTATTTTTTTATTTATGCATGCAGCCTTGGTTAGACTTTTAGGATTTTTTTAGGAAAATGAAAATAACAAAGAATTATAATAGAGCCTGACAGAAAGCCAATCCATCAGAATGACAGATAATGATTATTTTTTGTACAGTGCTTGTCTACTCCACGTGGCCCCTGTTCTTTGATTAAAGAAATGAGTTAGTCTTCAATGTTTCCCTCAGTTGATCACTGTATATTGTGCAGTTTAATTTTAGCTTGATTTAGGAAGCATTTTCCAGACATCTTTTATCACCTCATATTTCTTCTGCAGAAATGAAAATACTTGATTGTCATAGAAGCAGCTCAAGGTTACTGCTGGCCAGACTCATAAGCAGTTTTCACATTACTCTCTTCCAGTGTGTAAATTCAAGGCCCACAAAAGATGCGCAGTCAGGGCCACCAACAACTGCAAATGGACAACGTTGGCCTCTATCGGCAAGGACATCATTGAGGACGAGGATGGGGTGAGTCTCATAAAGCCCGTGGTTCAGTGAGCTAATGCATAACCGTTGACTGAATAGCAGAACTGATGGTGTAAATTTTTATTACATTCTATTCTTGTAGATTGCGATGCCACACCAATGGCTGGAAGGCAACCTGCCTGTCAGTGCTAAGTGTGCCGTTTGTGACAAAACCTGTGGCAGCGTGCTGCGCTTGCAGGACTGGCGTTGTTTATGGTGCAAGGCCATGGTAAGAACTGCATATACCAGAATCCCTTATGACTACTTCAGTTCAGAGAGCTTGTGAACTCTAAAAGCTGTCTGTGCTTGGACAGGTGCACACGGCATGCATGGATCTCTACCCCCGCAAATGTCCCCTCGGCCAGTGCAAAGTGTCCATCATCCCCCCTACCGCCCTCAACAGCATCGACTCAGACGGTAAGACTTTTCTTTTCACAGGAGTGGTTTTGAGAGGGATTATTCTAGTCTACACGTAAATATTGATGAATATTAATTTAATGTGTTAATATTAATAATATTATCTTTTACAATAAATATGCTGTATTTAAATAAGAATAATTAAATTATTTTATTTAATTTATTAATTATTTTTATTTTTTAAATGAATATATTATTATTATTATATATATAAAATAAATTATTAATGTGCTAATATGTGCTAAATAATAATTTAATTTATTACTTTAATAATGATTTAATAATGACATATACATACATACAATAAATATGCTGTATTTGAGTGTAAATAATTAAAATGACTATTGTATTTATTCAGTTTTATTTTTAGTTATTATTTATTTATTTATTTATTTTAATTATCATTATTACTATTATTATTATTTAAGCAACCTTGAGCTCGGGAAAGATGTTTATAAATAACAAAATATTATCATTATTATTATTATTATCATTATTATTATTACTACTACTACTACATATGTCTTTGCCAAAACATTAATTGAATTAATAATTTAAATGATATTATTTATAAAATAAATGTGCTGTATTTGGGTGAGAATATCCCAAATATCATACTGTTTATTCGTCCTTTAATTTTTTTAATGAAATCATTATTATTATTATTATTATTATTATTAATATATATATATATATATATATATATATCTTAGAAAAAAGAAAGAAAGCAAGAATGAATTAATAAAAAAAGCTATAAAACAGGTTGTTCTGAGCGTCCACTAGCCTTTTTTTTACTGGTTATTTTAGATTTATTTATTTTTAATTTATTAATTAATTTTTTTCTTTTCTTTTTTTTTGGTCTTGGGAGAACTTTTCAGTTATTAAAGTTTCAGTGTGTTTTCATTGTACATGAAACCCTTTCATTTCAAAAGGTCAAGGTCACTTGAGGCCTTGAGGCCACTCAAGGCTGATTGCGTGCTTATGCATGATCCCGCTCTGAATATGATGTATGATTATGAATTGGCGTGTGTGTGCATGTGAAGTGGTGGGAGGAACTCAGGTAGAGGACTGCTATAGATGGAGCTCATTAGCTTTGCTAATCCCAGGTTGCACGAAGAGCAATATCTCTTTCATTATACCTCTGACCTCTTCTGATTTGATCATGCATATAGAATGTGTTTTTCCCCTTCTGAGAGACACTCTGTGCCCATGTTCCTTTATTTTTCTTTCCCATCTCTCCTGTATATGTCAGGGCGGTGTGGAAAGTCACTTTCCCTTAGAGCATCTTGTCCTGACGCATGTAAACACAACAGCCTCTGGTGGACCATGTGCTTGGAAAATTCAAGACGAGAGCAAACAAAAGCGCTCTTCCATAGCCAGCTCTCTCTTTCTCCATCTCTTTCTGCATTATTAACCTGCTGCTGAGGATTCATACCTTGCTTGTTTGCTCAGTCAGCCTGTGGTAGAGAATATGCCACTGATTTCCAGGAAATTGCACATTGCCTTTTATTGACAGCTGTATGAATGCTATTTAGAGCTGCTTCATTCTTAACAATAGGTGTAAAAATAGCTCAATGGCTTTGTCCGAAAGCTGAAAAAAAAGTGCTTAAAAAATGTAAATTTAGGGTGCTCAGAATATTGTAACATAAGGATGCATGATTAATCAAAATAAAACCGAAATCATGACATGACTGTGATTTAATTTAAAAAAGTGCTGTGTGTGTTCTTTTACACGCAAACAACTTGTGATCCAGTGTGTTTTTAAAATAATAATAATATAAATATATAATAATATAGATAAATAAATATTAATAATAATATAATCACAACATTTTGGCCAACTTGTGCAGCCTTACAATCAAGAATAGCAAATCTGGGGCTTTTTTAAAATCACAACAAGTTGCAATCACAACTTTTATCAGAAAAAAATTGCAATTAGATTTTGTGCAGCCATACGTTGCCATATTTGAATTCACTTATATGGGAAAATATTGTATATTTAATAGTTCATGCTCATTTGTCCTGTTTTAATTTTTTTTGCCTTTGTCATCATCTATTCTACTTAGTTAATCTTTAAAACATTACATTAAGTATTAATTTTAAACATTATTTATAATTAATATTGTACACTGTTAAAATGTTTTGCAAATCTCAAAATGAATATTAATTTTTCATGCTGTACATTATTATGTACATTATAATGTTGTGATTCCTAAATTCACTTGTAGCATTCAAAACGACTAGATTTTAGTTTCACTCTAACAGTGATTCATTGGCTGAAGTTTGCTTAGAGGTTCCTAGTTGACTGCAGCATCTAACCTAATCAGACAGCAGAAAACATTGAAAATTAATGACTTCTGATTGCTTTTTTGCTACAAATTACTGTCAGTTTAAATACACATAACATCACAATGCTTTGCATATACATGCCTTAAAGGAACACGCCACTATTTTTGAAAATAGGCTCATTTTCCAACTCCCCAAGAGTTAAACAGTTCATTCAATCCATTCAGCCGATCTCCGGGTCTGACGGTAGCACTTTTAGCTGTAGCTTAGCATAGATCATTGAATCTGATTAGACCGTTAGCATCTCGCTTAAAAATGACCAAAGAGTTTCTGACTCTTCTGTAGCTACATCGTGTACTAAGACCGACGGAAAATGAAAAGTTGCGATTTTCTTGGCCGATATGGCTAGGAACTATACTCTCATTCCGGCGTAATAATCAAGGAACTTTTCTGCCATGCCGTACCATGGGTGCAGCAGGCGCAATGATATTACGCAGCGCCTGAAAATAGGCTAACTTCCATCAACATAACCAACGTGACCACCTGCTTGCACAGGGAGCTACTACAGAGTCAAGTTTTAAATAGGAAAAATATAGAAACTCTTTGGTCATTTTTAAGCGAGATGCTAACGGTCTAATCAGATTCAATGAGCTATGCTAAGCTAAGCTAAAAGTGCTACCGCCAGACCCGGAGATCGGCTGAATGGATTCGAAAACGGTAAAACTCAACTGTTTAACTCCAGGGGAGTTGGAAAATTAGCCTATTTTCAAAAATAGTGGAGTGTTCCTTTAAGGTAAAGTTACATTTATCGTTGCTTGGCAAAATTTCACAGTAGAAATATAGTAATTTTAATAGGAATGTGCGTGTTCAGTTTTCCATGACGGCGAAAATGTCCATACACAGATTTCGCTCATGTTCAAGTTAAAATTCGCTGTGCTGATCAACAGAAAGCTGCTTGGTTTAAAAGTGGCTTCTGTGTGAGTTGTGCTTTATACATCACTACAGTATTGAGAATAAATAATGGACTTTTTGTAGGCCTATATGAAATTTCCCTGGAATATCACTAATGTGGCCACAAATGTAGAATCCGGTCTGAAACCAGTTACCTTTCATTAGCTTTATGTAAAAGTGCCATTTATGCCAAGGATGATAACTATAATGATTACTATAAGATCACATTTTAATATTCACTCAAATTCTATAGTGATGTCCACATCACAACTAAAGCTATAGAGGAACAATATCGCAGGAATCACTTTCAGAATGTTTTTTGTTTTCAGCTGATGGAACAATAAAACCATTGACAGCCAATTAGAATCCATCCAACTTTAAAGAGCTTGAGCATTTAAAGTGGTAAATGACAAAACTGCAGCACGCTGTTTATAATTAACATATGTTATCGTGTGTTGGTGTGGATGATAATATAGTTATCGCTATAGTTATCGTTCTTGGTGTCAATGGGTTTTAAGTAATTAGCAGCTTGGTTTCAGACACGACTGGTGGTTTCAGGCTTTTCATCTGGCCAAGTCAAACCTTGTGAGAGATGAGGACATCCACTATTGATCAGAACCTCAAAGGTCCTGCTACTTTAATTGGCGGAGCACATATCGGATATAGAGATTAGTTGGGGGCAGACAGAAATGTAATGAAAAATAGGAAAAATATAGAAACTCTTTGGTCATTTTTAAGCGAGATGCTAACGGTCTAATCAGATTCAATGAGCTATGCTAAGCTAAGCTAAAAGTGCTACCGCCAGACCCGGAGATCGGCTGAATGGATTCGAAAACGGTAAAACTCAACTGTTTAACTCCAGGGGAGTTGGAAAATTAGCCTATTTTCAAAAATAGTGGAGTGTTCCTTTAAGGTAAAGTTACATTTATCGTTGCTTGGCAAAATTTCACAGTAGAAATATAGTAATTTTAATAGGAATGTGCGTGTTCAGTTTTCCATGACGGCGAAAATGTCCATACACAGATTTCGCTCATGTTCAAGTTAAAATTCGCTGTGCTGATCAACAGAAAGCTGCTTGGTTTAAAAGTGGCTTCTGTGTGAGTTGTGCTTTATACATCACTACAGTATTGAGAATAAATAATGGACTTTTTGTAGGCCTATATGAAATTTCCCTGGAATATCACTAATGTGGCCACAAATGTAGAATCCGGTCTGAAACCAGTTACCTTTCATTAGCTTTATGTAAAAGTGCCATTTATGCCAAGGATGATAACTATAATGATTACTATAAGATCACATTTTAATATTCACTCAAATTCTATAGTGATGTCCACATCACAACTAAAGCTATAGAGGAACAATATCGCAGGAATCACTTTCAGAATGTTTTTTGTTTTCAGCTGATGGAACAATAAAACCATTGACAGCCAATTAGAATCCATCCAACTTTAAAGAGCTTGAGCATTTAAAGTGGTAAATGACAAAACTGCAGCACGCTGTTTATAATTAACATATGTTATCGTGTGTTGGTGTGGATGATAATATAGTTATCGCTATAGTTATCGTTCTTGGTGTCAATGGGTTTTAAGTAATTAGCAGCTTGGTTTCAGACACGACTGGTGGTTTCAGGCTTTTCATCTGGCCAAGTCAAACCTTGTGAGAGATGAGGACATCCACTATTGATCAGAACCTCAAAGGTCCTGCTACTTTAATTGGCGGAGCACATATCGGATATAGAGATTAGTTGGGGGCAGACAGAAATGTAATGAAAATCAATAGCTGTGAAGTTTCGCCTGATATATTTTTGGATCGCTTTGTGGTTCCTTGGCTGTTTAAAAAGGACGGAGGAGGAACGGACGGATTGAACCCTGTAAAGCTGCTAAAGAAGCAGCGAGGGATACAGAAAGCATGAGAATGTGATGGGAAAGTAGGAGAGTCCCTCACGTGTAAGGAATCTCCCGCTTCAGTGCTAGATGGTGAGGAGAGCTGGGTCTTAATTCGCTCAGGGCTGCCTTTGGCACGTGCTCAGGCTTCGTGACTCAATTTGCCTCAGCCTGCCTCCGAGAGAGATAGCGAGAGAGCAAGGGAAAGAGGAGGTGGGGCTCTGTTAGACCTAAAGGGGTCTACTGACAGACATCCACCCACGTGCGAGTATCCGCTCGCAGCCACACGAAGAACATGAAAACCTGAGCTTGAGGGCAGCTGTCAGCTTTACTAACACTCATGCATGCTTAAAGCCATGTACGCAAACATAATGCAGTATGCACAGATGCATGCAGGTACCCAGAATGGATGCAGTGTGTCCACATGCAAACAATTCCTCCCATACGTCCGCAGCGGAGAGACAGGAATGTGAAAATCTAAATGGTGCATATGGTGAATCTCATAAACACAGCGGGTTCTTGCTCGCAGCGACTGGAATGTTCAGACTGTTTACCGCACATGCTGCAATGCATGCACGTGATCGCCTCCAGTGCAAGCATGTATGACAGCTCCTCACTCAGCCCGGCTCTAATGACAAAGAAGGCATAGTGCCGGATTATTTACACACTAGAGTACACATCATTTCCAGCAAAAACATACTAGGATGATGGTTTGCTTTTCCTTGTGCTGCAGCACAAAACCCTTTCCACTCCTTTCTCGGTGATTCATCCTTGTCCAGGCATGAAGAAAACTGTTCCTAAGCAACATGCGGTCAACAAAAATCTCAGCATTAACTTTTTTAGCATGCACGTTCTGACATTTAGTTCTTGAAGTTTGATTAGTAAGCGTGGTGTCACCAGCGATTGCAGGGAACACACAAACTGATATAAGCTCTCTCACAATTATTACTATGTTAAGCTAAGCTAATAATAGTTGTAGTAATAAACTATTTATTACTAAACTGCAATAGTAATAAACTTACTCAAATTTTTCAGTACGTGAAATCAATAGTAATGCACTAACATTTATAAACACTGAAACCAAAATCAAAGTTAAGCTGAAAAAAATAAATAAACAGTGGTGTGAAAAAGTGTTGGCCCCCTTCCTGATTTCTTATTTTTTTGCATGTTTGTCACACTTTAATGTTTCAGATCATCAAACAAATTTAAATATTAGTTAAAGATAACACAAGTAAACACAACATGCAGTTTTTAAATGAAGGTTTTTATTATTAAGGGAAAACAAAATCCAAAACTACATGGCCCTGTGTGAAGAAGTGTTTGCCCCCCTGTTAAAACTGTGGTTTATCACTATTGAGATGCTGTGGCATGACCTTAAAAAGGCGGTTCATGCTCGAAAACCCTCCAATGTGGCTGAATTACAACAATTCTGCATAGATGAGTGGACCAAAATTCCTCCACAGCGCTGTAACAGACTCATTGCAAGTTATCGCAAACGCTTGATTGCAGTTGTTGCTGCTAAGGGTGGCCCAACCTGTTATTAGGTTTAGGGGGCAAACACTTTCTCACACAGGGCCATGTAGTTTTGGATTTTGTTTTCCCTTAATAATAAAAACCTTCATTTAAAAACTGCATGTTGTGTTTACTTGTGTTATCTTTTACTAATATTTACATTTGTTTGATGATCTGAAACATTAAAGTGTGACAAACATGCAAAAAAAACAAGAAATCAGGAAGGGGGCCAACACTTTTTCACACCACTGTATATATATATATATATATAAATTTAGCTGAAAACCGAAGTTGAAAATAAAGTGTTGGTAATTAAATTTGCTTAACTGGGTAATTGTTTTCAGGTGAGAAACTAAACTAGTTGTAATAAAGTTCTTCAGCAACGAGTCGTCTATCCTAACAAATTTTACACAATCAAAACATTTCATTGGAGAAGCGATAATAAAACATTGCGTTTTGGTCATTTTTAGTATTTTTTTCTGCTGAATATTTTCAGTTACTATTTCAATTGCCATGAATTGTAGTGTGTCACTAGAAATCAGTTTTACAGTAAATCAGTTTTTACAAATGAATCAGTGACATTTTGGCATTTAACATCAGCTTGTTGCTAAGATAACGTGAGACTCACATACAAAACCCACATCCAGAAATATTGAGTAAAATAATACATTTTTAACTTGACAGAACTAATTTATGGATATTTTCCAGTAAAGAATAGATTATGTTTACTTCACTCACTTCATCCACCATCCTCGTTCACTTCAGTGCGTTCTGGGATTATCTTCTTTTAGGAAGGATGGTGTTGCCTTAGTATTTGGCCAAAATAAGGTATCTACCTGTTGAAGAAGCTATTAGAGATAAAAAGTCTCTCATCTTTTTTGCTATTTTCCTGCGTCAGGTTTCTGGAAGGCCACCTGTCCCCCATCATGCGCTAGTCCACTCCTCGTGTTTGTCAACTCAAAAAGCGGAGACAACCAAGGGGTAAAATTCCTGCGTCGCTTCAAACAGCTGCTCAATCCCGCTCAGGTCTTTGACCTGGTCAACGGTGGACCTCATTTAGGGTAAGACCAGGATGTAAAAGGTCATAGGAAGTAAACTACTGACTATCGTCTTAGAAGCAAATAAGTGTTTTTTTTTTACTTCTTTACAAAATAGGTAGTTGACATAAGATAGGACTTTTTATACATCAACATACTAAAGCTATATGAAAGTATAATCTAAAGTGTAATTTTCAAGTCCCATAATCATTTTTTTTTTACATTTTTCCTCCAGTTCTAATCACCTTTTTGGCTCATTTTAATGATCCAAATCAATTTTTCCATATACTGTTGTCTAAGCTCATACAAACTGCAGGCATAATGATTACAAAAAAGAATTAGAAAAATGCTGTTTAAAGTAGTTTAGTCACACCACATCAACCACCCAAACCTAATCTCACTTGATCCCTTTAACTTTGTGACACCTTTTGAGAAGTGTTTATGAGTTTGTGTCTGTTAAATAGTTCTTTTCTCTTTTCAAGTCTTCGCTTGTTCCAAAAGTTCGATAACTTCCGAATCCTGGTGTGCGGTGGAGATGGAAGCGTCGGTTGGGTCCTGTCTGAAATCGATAAACTAAATCTTCACAAACAGGTAATTGAAAAGTACTGCACCATGTCCTGACGATTGAAAGTAAACTTGTCGCTAACACGAGAGTATCAGAGCAGATGTTTATGAGGATTTCTTAATGAACTGGCGCGGTGATCTGAACTGTCTCTCGTTGACAGTGCCAGCTGGGCGTTCTGCCGCTGGGCACCGGGAATGACCTGGCGCGGGTGCTCGGCTGGGGGCCGTCGTGTGATGATGACACTCAACTCCCTCAGATACTGGAGAAGCTGGAGCGAGCCAGCACCAAGATGCTGGACAGGTACAGAGCACACACTAGCATGACCACAAATATATGACCCTGGACCACAAACCAGTCATAAGTAGCACAGGTATATTTGTAGCAATAGCCAACAATACATCGTATCGGTCAAAATTATAGATTTTTCTTTTATGCCAAAAACCATTAGGATATTAAGTAAAGATCATGTTCCATGAAGATATTTTGTAAATTTCCTACCGTAAATAAATAAATAACTTTTTTGATTCGTTTTAGTGCCGCTATTATGAATTTTTTTAAATTACCTTTTGATGCAGTGTGTAACACAGCTCTAAATGAATGAAAACATCCTGCAAAGAGTCGACTCTGAATCATTGAAATGAGTCGTTTACGAATCCCAATCCGTTTCATCTTGACGTAAACATGAAACATTAGCATATTGCCCGCCCACTTGTTGGTCTTTTTGCGTTGGTCTGAATGAAAATGCAAATTCATGCTTTGCCACTAGGTGCCACTTTTGGAGTGGTAAAAATAGCGGTTTCCCCGGTAACGCTGCACACAAAGCAGCACTGCGCTCACAAACGCTGCTTTATCAGGCATTACAGGCAAGATGAAATGAAAATGAGACCAATCGGACCATTAACAGCAGACTAACGTCACGTAAAGGATGGGTTTGGAAAAATGAATCGTTAAACGAATCGTTTGGGAGTCGTTGAGCAAGTAAGGTAAAAATAAATGCGTATTATAAGACAATGAATGTGTTTTTTGACCTTGCATGCATGTCAACCTGTTGTTGGGGACTCCCAAAACCAAAATAGGAACCTTTCATTACCCATAATAGGGGCGATTTTCTCAATATTTTAATTTTTTGCACCCTCAGATTCCAGATTTTCAAATAGCTGTATCTCAGCCAAATATGGTCATATATCCTAACAAACCATACATCAATGGAAAGCTTTATTCAGCTTTCAGATGATGTATACATCTCAATTTCCAAAACTTGACCCTTATTACTGGTTTTGTGGTCGAGGGTCACATATGTCGAGCTTATAATATCCGTGTCGTTGGCTACATCTACAGCTGCTGTTTACAGGTGGAGTATAATGACGTATGAGATTAAAATACCTCCCAAACACAGCTGCCCCGCCACACCTGAGGAGGCAGAGGACGGCCAGGTACCAGCAGCACATCAACACCAATAAAAGAGCTGTTGACATGTCACAGTGTGACATGCTACACTTAATCTAAGACTAGGCGCCACTGGAACACAACAAAGACAACACCTCTTTCAGCTGTGTTTCCCTCACTGTACTCAAAAGAAAACATTTGGCACACCCATTGTAGTTCGCTTCATGACTGTGAGCCATTATTTTTAGTCTAAATAAATAGGAAACTGTTGCTATTATTTGTAGAGTGATTATACGTCCTCTTTTTCCAGTCCTTGCCTGGATTTCAAAATTGCCTAAAATGTCCTGGTTTTGGCTTTGTTTTCCTATTGATGTACTCTCTACAGTCCTCATACATTATATGTGTATATATTTGCATTGCTTTGACTGTTTTCTGTAGATCCCGCCTTCTCGCACGCCATGATTTGTCGATTATATACAGTGCCTGCACGCTATTGGTTAAACTACTTTTCATTCATTACCTTGAGGAGTATGAAAACAATAGGAAAACAAAACCAAAATCCCACATATTTTAGGAAATTACAAAATCCTGCCCGGGCCAGGACATAAAAAGAGGGCATATAGTCACCTTATTATTTGTACTTGACTGCTCATTTATGAAATTATTTGGTTAATTTGATTATTCATTTTAGCTAGTTGCGAGAGTCTTGTATCCTTAGCTCCACACTATACATTATGCACTTATACACTATGTACTTATGCACCATGTAGTGTATGAATTATATAAAGTTATTTTGTCATTATTTAATTGCGACGCAATTAAAGCTACGACATTTGAGTGCATTGTGTTCAACATTCCACACTTAGTTTTTCCCGTTTTTTTAAGTGCATCATCCGGGTATTTAAAGTGCACTTTATTTATTTGTATTTTTTTTTAAATTTTCAGTGTGAACACACTACTTGCACTAAGTTCGCAATTTGGGACACACCTTCTATGTGAATCCATTCAGCATAAAAATGTGGCCACATTTACCAAAGTTGGGGCGAGATTTCATGTGCAAAATCCAGTCATTTCAATAGGAATCCACACATCTGGAATTTCTCGAGGGCATGCGGGTGAAATATTTCCTCATGCAGATTTTGCAAGTTGGTCATTCGAATTTGCATCGCTAACTTTTAACTAAATACATCTTTACAACAGACTTTTTTCCCCTGTGAAATTTCACCAAATGTTTTCTAAATTGATTGCACCTTAAATCTGCAGATTTTCCCCCAAAATCACAGCAGAAAATGAGAAAATATTATGTAGAGTCTTGCAGAGTACTGACCGATTGTTCATATAATGAGCAGACAAAGATATACACTTGGGTTTTATTGTAATAAACAGCATTTTTATTTCAAAAATAAACATTAAAATGCTAAATGCAAAAATTTTATTTAGCATATGTTAAAGGCCAGTTGTGCAGTGATTTAGTTTTCTTGCTCAGGAAATGTTACATGAAAATGATGCTTGATGTGTATCGGTGGCTTTAGTTACAGATATCTGTTTATGAGGATTCAGTGGCTGCTCATCTCACAAAGATCCTGAACTCAGATCAGCACTCAGTGGTCATATCTTCATCGAAGTGAGTCCTCTCACACCATACAGTTCATATTGCCCCTCTAACAAACAGAAACAACAATCAAGCATTTCCTCTGGTCTCCTCCAGGGTGTTGTGTGAGACGGTGAAGGAATTTGTGGCCAAAGTTGGGAAGTGTTATGAGAGAAGCAGTGAGAGTACGGAGGAAGCTGATGCACTTGCCCTCAAAGTGAGTCTGTGATGCCTCACCTCGTGACGGCTCTTTCAGTCATTACTCAACATGTGCAGAAATACAGTATAAACCTGTTTATCAACACAACAGCCTCTCCTTTGTTCTCCGTCCGCAGAGTGCGATTCTGAACGAGAAGCTGGACTCCCTCCTGCAGACGCTCAATTTGGAGGCGCAGGCCATGACGCCCTCAGCCCTCACCACGCCACCCATCGTGGAGGAGGAGGTGGAGGAGGAGGAGCTGGAGGAGGAGGAGGATCTGAGTGAAGAGTCTTTAACGGAGCTGAAGGAGAATGAGACTGAGAAAGGCTCTGCTCATAAGCTCTTCAGACCCCGCGAGCAGCTCGTGCTCAGAGCCAACAGCCTGAAGAAAGCGCTCAGACAGATCATCGAGCAGGCGGAGAAAAGTACGATTGTGCAGCATGTCTTTTGAATAGAAAAAAAAAAATCACTGATCTGTTGCTTACAGAATGCGGCTCTGGATATAAGCGTCTCTTAAAGGACTAATCAGATGACTTCAATCGATTATATTGAAATGGATTAGCCACATGAGACCTGATTGTCTCCTCTTGATCTTCAGGGATTTCTATCTTTTTAAATGAAGGATCAACACATGTGTCAATAAGTCATTAGGTTTTAGTAATACTCTGTAATTCTCTGTTTCTGGGTAATATGTTTAAATATGATATAATAAAAAACAATAACATTTTTGATGTATAGTTAAATATTAGATATAGTCTAAGTTTAATATAATAATTGTGTGTACATACAGTATACATGTAATAACACAAAAATGTGGAAAACAAATATTAACTCTTTAAAACTTTAAAAGATGCAGCACATTGTAATGTAAAACATGTTTGTTAAATATAACCTACATTTTATATAGTAAAAATAAATAAAATAACGTTTTTGTTTATTTAAATACAAAATATTTTCTAAATATATGATAAAAAATAGCAACATTTTTTGTTTAATATTTAAATATTAGATATGATCTAAATGTAATATAATAATTTTGTGTACATATAAATGTAATAAAACAAAAAAATGAACTTTAAATACAAAATATTTAAAAGATTAATAATTAAATATTTTCTCTTTAGAAGAAGATTGTAAAATGTTCCAGATGCAGCGCATTTTAATGTTAAAATATGGTTAAATATTACCTAAGTATTATATAATAAAAATAAAATAATAACGTTTTTGTTTATTTAAATATTAAATATTATCTAAATATGATAAATATAATACATATATAATAAATGTATTATAATATATATATAATACAATATATATTTTGTGTACATATATTTAGTAAAACAAAAATGGTATTATAAATATAATTAAATAAATACATTTAAAATATATAAACAAAAACAATAATTAAATATTTTCTCTTTAATTTAAATGTTTCAGATACAGCACATTTTAATGTTAGAAATATGCTTTGTTAGGCACATTTTTCAGTTAATTTGATAGCAGAAGGGTTATTGGACCATGTGTTTATTTTTTTTAATTAAATATAAAAATATAGAGTAATAAACAAGCTATATTTACTTTTAGTACATATTTTACAAAATAATAATAATAATAATAATAAGGAATGTCACATTGGGATATCCAAGAGTTTTGAATTGATTCATTGCAACAAAAAAGTGACTCACATAAGTAAACTGAATTGAGCAATGCTAGTTGTATGCAACTCAGGTTTAAAGTCAGTGTGAAATGATGTAAGAGTAATTCTTGATATCAGTCACCTTCAGAGCTGAAGCAGTTCTCAAGACAAGGAAAGATTGCGAAACTAGTCTGATGACACGCTCTTTGGGAAACTTCACAATTTTGTGTCATTTTATACCTCCATCAAAAACATGAAAATTACCATATAAATAAAATATTACCCAGCCCTGCCTACTTCTATGTTCCACGTGAAGAAGTGCATGTTTGTGTCTGTGCTGTAGTGGTGGACGAGCAGAACACTCACACGGAGGAGCAGGAGCTGCAGTCTCCCACAGACTTCAGGAAGGACAGTGAGGAGGAAAACAGAGACAACGAGAAGGACGAGGACACTAAAGAACTGGAAGCCTTGCCCTGTGAGTTCACGCTTCTATATCTTAGACATGCTGTTGCTGTTAACTGTTTCCTATGAGACACACAGTGCTCTTGCTGATCGGCCTTAAAAGCTGAATCCTCCATTGGTCTGCATTCAAGTGCCAGCATGTGTTTTGTCTCACAGGAGCTGTTTGTGCATGAAAGGCTTTTTTGTAAGTCTATTCTTTATAGAAAGACTGGAATGCACTGTATGCTTGAAATACTCATACGATTTATTACAGTTGCCAACATGACAGTTGTACAGTAACGGAGAACTCTGAACTGGGGACTGCTTCACCACAATGTAATGCACATGACTCCAGCGTGACAAAGAAACTGAAAGCAATGTTAGTCATGATTTTGAGCATCTTTTTTTTAGACTCACTATTTAATCAGATTGCCAAAATTTACATTTTTAAAACAACATTTCATTCAAAATATAAAATACCCCGATATGTGCAACATCATGAGATCATGTGACTAATCATCTATGGCGGAAAAATGCCTACTAATGTGCAAAAACAATAGGCAGGATGCAGTACATACTGGACATTGTTCAGTATGTCAGTTTTACATTCTGAACATAACTGTGCATTTTCAGCATATTATGATTTGAGACACAGTCATTCTAACAGCACTTTATTTAGGATGAACTGTGGTTCAGCCCTTGGTTTGGAGCTGAAGTATCTGAATGCATTCGTGGCTGAAAGGGTTAGTGCTGCCCTCTAGTGACAAACTCATTGTAGTAAATTATTGCATTTCAATGTAACTTCTTTAAAGGGGTCATATGATGCGATTTCAAGTTTTCCTTTCTCTTTGGAGTGTTACAAGCTCTTGGTGCATAAAGAAGATCTGTAAAGTTGCAAAGACTAAAGTCTCGCTCTGTTGCTCTTTCGAGCTTGAACTGATGGTAAAACTAACAACATTATTAACTGTCTTGATATTTACTTTGAAAGCTGAAGCTCGTGATTATGGTAAGGGGCGTTACATTTCCGACGAGTGCTTGCAGTGTTCGGCCAATCACAATGCACTGGGTCAGCTGGCCAATCAGAGCAGACTGCGCTTGTCGGAAGGAGGGACTTTGTAGAAAACAAAGCGTTTGAGAGAGGCGGGGCATAGAGGACCTACAATAATGTACAGTATTTGAAAAATAATGTGTTTTTGAACATTAAAGCATGTCAACATATTCTGTTACACCAAATACACAAAATAATGATCTTTAAAAAAGCATCATATGACCCCTTTAAGACAAATTAACCACAGCATAAATTGTTGTTGCTGTTATTATTATTATTATTATTATTGGTTTTTATTTATTTATTTTGGGGATTATTTTTATAAAAAAGAATGACTAAGAACTTAAATTAATATTATTATTATTAGAGTTTATTTTTATTGAAAAATGAATTACTGTTAGTTGTTTCACACATTACTTTTAGTTTAACATTTCACCAACTTAAATTATTGTTATTATTATTATTAATTTTTTATAATAAAAATGCGGCAACATAAATTATTATTAGTAGTAGTAGTAATAGTATTAATAATATTCTAAATAAAGACTCTTAGTTGTTTTACACATTAGTCTTAGTTTTAAAAAAGCAGCAACATTATTATTAGTAGTATATATTTTTTTTATGGGTTTATTTTTATACAAAATTACTATTAGTTGTTTCACGCATTACTTTTAGTTAAAAATTTTAGCAACTTAAATTGTTCTTCTTATTCTTATTATTAGGTTTTTATAACTAAAATGCAGGAACATGAATTATTATCATTATAATAATAATTATTATTATTATAATTAAATAATTACTCTTAGTTGTTTTACACATTTCTCTTTGTTTAAAAATCAGCAACATAAATTATTATTATTATATGGGTTTATTTCTATTAATAATCTCTGAAAAGGTCTTCACTCTTATAGTTATAGTTGTTTTCATGAAGACAGACTGTTCTAAATGGGGAGACAAGCTTTTGTTTTGCAAAATTGCTCAATAACACAATCTTTTTCCTTAAGAAGGTCTGGGATTTCCTAACGGTTTACAGACTGTAAGTGTTTATGGCTGCAAATATATTTGTAGGTGTCCCAGAGGATCCCTGCGCTATATTTCTGTCTATAGAGAACATATCTTTGTTTGCTGTACAGTGGCACTCCCTGTTCACATAGTGTTCACATAGCTGTCTGCTCATGTTTTCAGTGGGGCATGAAACACTGGCTTTATTCTCTTTAGTTGGTTCAGTCTCTCAGGGGCTCCTCCGTCTCATAGCTGTTAAGTGCCCTTGATGTGTTTTGGTTTGTTCTTGTGGGTTACGTTCTGCTGAATATCTCTTTTACAGCAGATTTTTTCACTTCTTGTTGAGAGCCAGTGACCAAAATGCACGGGCTATTCTTACGTGCTGGAAAAACTGAGCATTTAGAAAACAAAACAGCATTAGATTTTGCTGCGTAACGGGCACTTGGGCAGATTATTGCTGTGACAAATGAGCGTGTTGTACACATGAGCTGATGTTTTGTTCTGTGTTTGTGCTTTCGCAGTGACTAAGTCGCCGTGTTCGCCGCCAGAGAGGCGTGTGAGTCGCAGCACGCAGTCCTGCGGCTCTTTTTCCATCACGCCCTTCACCACAAGCAAGGAGAACGTTTTTATTTATTTATTTTGGGGATTATTTTTATAAAAAAGAATGACTAAGAACTTAAATTAATATTATTATTATTAGAGTTTATTTTTATTGAAAAATGAATTACTGTTAGTTGTTTCACACATTACTTTTAGTTTAACATTTCACCAACTTAAATTATTGTTATTATTATTATTAATTTTTTATAATAAAAATGCGGCAACATAAATTATTATTAGTAGTAGTAGTAATAGTATTAATAATATTCTAAATAAAGACTCTTAGTTGTTTTACACATTAGTCTTAGTTTTAAAAAAGCAGCAACATTATTATTAGTAGTATATATTTTTTTTATGGGTTTATTTTTATACAAAATTACTATTAGTTGTTTCACGCATTACTTTTAGTTAAAAATTTTAGCAACTTAAATTGTTCTTCTTATTCTTATTATTAGGTTTTTATAACTAAAATGCAGGAACATGAATTATTATCATTATAATAATTATTATTATTATTATAATTAAATAATTACTCTTAGTTGTTTTACACATTTCTCTTTGTTTAAAAATCAGCAACATAAATTATTATTATTATATGGGTTTATTTCTATTAATAATCTCTGAAAAGGTCTTCACTCTTATAGTTATAGTTGTTTTCATGAAGCCAGACTGTTCTAAATGGGGAGACAAGCTTTTGTTTTGCAAAATTGCTCAATAACACAATCTTTTTCCTTAATAAGGGCTGGGATTTTCTAACGGTTTACAGACTGTATGGTTCAGTCTCTCAGGGGCTCCTCCGTCTCATAGCTGTTAAGTGCCCTTGATGTGTTTTGGTTTGTTCATGTGGGTTACGTTCTGCTGAATATCTCTTTTACAGCAGATTTTTTCACTTCTTGTTGAGAGCCAGTGACCAAAATGCACGGGTTATTCTTACGTGCTGGAAAAACTGAGCACACATATTGCTGTGACAAATGAGCGTGTTGTACACATGAGCTGATGTTTTGTTCTGTGTTTGTGCTTTCGCAGTGACTAAGTCGCCGTGTTCGCCGCCAGAGAGGCGTGTGAGTCGCAGCACGCAGTCCTGCGGCTCTTTTTCCATCACGCCCTTCACCACAAGCAAGGAGAACCTGCCTGTTCTCAACACGCGGATCATCTGTCCCGGTACGATCGCATCTTTACTCTGCTGCTGCTGCTGACCGGAAAACATCCAAAAGTGCAATTTCTGTCATCGTTTATTCACTGTCATGCTGTTTCAAACCTGTGTGACTTTCGTTTTTTCCACTGAACACAAAAGGAGATGTTGCTGCTCTTTTCCGTTTAGTGAAAGTGAATTGTGATCTGTGGCTGCTTTTAAAAAGACCATTAAGGATTCATAAGTGTAGTCCAGACGTCTGCAGAATGCTTGTAAAAAAGAATTGTATTGAATGTGCACTTCAAGTAGTGTACTTCAAATCTTAAGTATAATAAAAAAAATGATAACATATTAATTAAATAAAAGCACAATAAAGTGTACTTAAAAAGAGCACACGTTCATGACACTTAAGTACACTTTTAAGAGTGCACGAGTGCACTTTGTCAGTTAAAAGTACTAATCACAAAAGCACATAGAAATTACAGTCTACTGTCTATTATTATAGAAATGAAGAAATGATTTAGTATACCGTAATTACATTCTGCAGTACATTACAATAATATTTCAAAAACACTAGAAATAATTAGCAAATTACATATAACCATGTACTTGTGTCTAACTTAAGTGGATCAAAAAACACTCAAAATTCCAGCCAATTGCATTTAATATAAATTTTAACTATAATACATTTTCATTTAATTGCAATTAACATGTAGTTAAGTGTCCAAACATTCAGTTCTCTCTTAAGTATATTGTTTTAAAGAATAGTTTTTATTTCCATAATAAGTACTCTTTTTAAAAGTATGTTAAGTTGTACTTTTGAAAACATCTTCTTTTGTGTTTCACTAAAAAAGAAAGTTAAACAGGGTAAAAACAACAAGAGGAGTAATCAATAATAGACTTTTCATTCAAATAAAAAAAGTTTTAATTATGTTTTTTCTGATTTGAAATCTTCAGGTCTGCGGGCAGGTCTTGCTGCCTCTATAGCTGGAAGCTCCATAATCAGCAAGATGCTGCTTGCCAACATCGATCCCTTTGGTGCAACACCCTTCATAGATCCTGACCTGGACTCTCTGTAAGAGCTTCGGTTTCCTTTTTCTTGTTTAAGTTTATTTTGAATGTATTCGTAAAACTTACACAAGTCATTTCTCTCACAGAGAGGGCTATTTGGAGAAGTGTGTGATGAATAACTACTTTGGGATTGGGTTGGATGCAAAGATCTCACTGGAGTTCAACAACAAGCGAGAGGAGCACCCAGAGAAATGCAGGTAGTTCAGGATATCAGCATAGTCTTATTTCATATACTGCATTTACCAAAACACCACTTACTAGGACTCAACGGTTGACTAGTACTTCTTTCACCATCCAGAAGTCGCACTAAAAACATGATGTGGTATGGAGTTCTGGGGACGAAAGAGCTTCTGCAGCGGACCTACAAGAACTTGGAGCAGAAAGTTCAGCTGGAGGTGAGACGAATGAAAGCCATTTACCACTAATAAAGAAAAAAAAAATATATATATATATATTTATTAATATATATATATATATTTTTTATAAATACATATATATGAAAATTCAGGTAACACTAATACCACAATTTGAGACTGAATAAAGCATTAAACATTAAATGAGCATAACTATTAAATAAATAATAATAAAAAATAAAAAAGCAAGATACATATTAATAGGTTGTAACTATTATTTCACATAAATAAAAAACAAAATATTAGTCTGATCATTTGTTTGTTCAATAACTTGGTAACAGGGTTGAAAAATATGTACAAAAAATTGGATCTAAATGATGGTACATCATGAATGTTACAATACAGTATATGAAATGTTCTCTTGTTTCTTTTAACAGGACAAGTTGTGCACTAACAGGGTTGACATTTGATGTTGTAAAGTACTTTTATGTTAAATAATAGTTTATCTTACATATCTAGTACAGTGGTACTCAACCCCCTTCATTGTCCCATATTCTAAGGCCCCATGCCCTTTTTCCAGTTGTTTGTGATTTTTTTTACTCACAATTGTGACCTGATAAAATATTTTAGAGCTTGGCATAACTAGAAAAACATTGCCACAGAGATTTTATTAATATACATGTAATGACTTTTCCAGGTCTAGAAATGGCAGTTAAATATTATTATAAGATTCTTGAAAGTTTGGTCTAGTAGTTTTTATTTCCAGGAACAACAGACTTGTGCCTTGATATGTGCTTTAAAAAAACGTAACAGACACTAGTTGCTGCAATATTTGTGGAAAGTGCCAAATGTTGCCAAGCCTGAACAACCAACAAATGGTTTGAATTAACTGATTTAACGACAACAACTGCTGGAACTGAACGTCTGAAGCAGTTGTTGGTCAAACGATTGCATTGGCCGTCGACCGCTGTCCCAGTTTCAAGTTCAGGGCTCCTCATGGCTGTGTGATTGATTCTGCAGTGTGACGGCCAGTACATCCCACTCCCCAGTCTCCAGGGAATCGCTGTGCTGAACATCCCCAGCTATGCCGGGGGAACCAACTTCTGGGGCGGCACCAAAGAGGATGACGTAAGTCATGTTGCTAGAGGTCATGAGGGGCTTTTCTTATCAAACAGCATTTAGATCCTGGCTCTGAGCTGTTCAGCCCTTAGATGTCAGTTAAAGGGATAATTCACCCAAAAAATTTTTTTTGATGTTTATCTGCTAACCCCCAGGGCATCCAAGATGTAGGTGACTTTGTTTCTTCAGTAGAACACAAATAAAGATTTTTAACTCAAACCGTTGCAGTCTGTGTGTGTCATATAATGGAAGTCAATGGGAATCATGGCTTTTGAGAGTCAAAAACGTTTTTTACCTCTGATGCACTGCAATGTCCGAACTGTCCTGAGTGCGTTCTCAAACGCGTCTTCTTCTTCTTCTTGCGTAACGGCGGATCGCAGACTTATAAGTGCATTACCGCCACCTATCTCTCAAATGGACCATTGACACACCTAATTGAGATTGTTGATAAGAGTGTCAATGATCCATTTCAGACATTGCAGTGCATCAGAGGTAAAAAACGATATAAATACTGTTCAGTTTCTTGCACAGAGCGATCGTTTCGTGTCTTTACACATCAATGTATCGTCACGAGCCGCAGAGTTTAATTTGGTTTTGTTTTGTTTGTGTATGTTTTTTTGACTCTCAAAGCCGTGATTCCATTGACTTCCATTATATGACTGACAGACTGCAACAGTTTGTGTTCAAAATCTTTATTTGTGTTCTACTGAAGAAACAAAGTCACCTACATCTTGGATGCCCTGGGGATAAGCAGATAACCATCAAATTTTCATTTTTGGGTGAACTATCCCTTTAAGAGTTGAAATATGACACCATGTAGAGAGGAAATTATGTAGAGTTGTTTAATTAAGAGGATGAGCAGGCCCTGTGTTGACTCATGTTGTTTAACGTGCAGCTGGCTCTGAACAAAACCTTTTGAACCCAGAGTGACACGGGTCTTTGTTCGCAACAAGTGGCCTATGCCAAAAGGCCACTTGTTGTGAACAAAGACCCTGGTTTGTTTTAGCTTCACAGGGCCTCGTTCAGAATGAGGTTACCTCCGGACACAAGGTCTGGTTACAGAAGGGCAGAGTGCAGAAGATGCTTAGATGCCTGTGATCTTGGACAGGACAGTCGAGGACTCCGTTGAGTAGCATTTTTAGAAATGGAAGAGAGTTTAACACTGTAAAGTCTGACATATGAAATAATAGTCTGAAAAATATGTTTTGTTTCTAGTGGAATTGTTTATTGAGCCTTTAGACAATCTAAGAATAAATAAATAAATATATAAAGTTTGCTTACATCATGCTTTTATGACTCATAAAGTATAATGTAGTAAGAATATGGAGCTCACACTCGAGGAGGAAAAAAAAAAAATACTCTGTTTCATTCAGATGCCCAAACTGAACAAAAATATGAAATTTGTTGCAGATGTTGTTATATATATATATGCCCAAAAAGTAAAATGAAATGTTGATAGCTTGTAATGCAAATCGATGAAAGCTTTATAACAGTATAGCAGACAGCTTAAATACTGTAAAATGCTTTTAAATATCTGTTGTCACTCTATATCTCCCAATAATATGTCTTAGTAAGGTTATATTTAAATGTTCAGTTTTATGTCAAAGTCTGTAGTTTTTATTATGAAGGCAAAACATATAATGCAGGGCAATACATTGATAATTGAGAGATACAAATAAATGTTCTTCAAAAGCTTCAAAATGTTTGCTCATATTATAATATGATTTTTCTAAAAAATGATGTATGGATAATCAAGTAAAGTTGATTTATCAAGTTAAGTATCTTAACTTGCATCTTGAAATATTACTTATAATGTAAAAGTTATTCTTATTATAAAAATCAGTAAATATTTCACAGCAAAAACACATGTACCAAGACCTGAAAGGGAACATTTTTACGATTATAATAAAATGTCTTTTACTTGCTAAAAATATAAACCATCAATCAGATGACAGAAAGCATGTAGTAGATTGTGTACAAGAGTTAAATCTAAATTTTGATAAGAGGCCTTAGAAATGTGTGTATCAAATATGATTGGCTTTATAGAGTTAATAGTTTTTTAGGAGAAATTGTTTTGTTTTGTGAATCTTGAGGGTGAGTCTGTAAGGAGCCCCCTTGTGGTGGTGAACTATTTTTACCATTATTGTTTTTTTGTCTTTTTGTGCAGATATTTTGTGCCCCTTCATTTGATGATAAAATTTTGGAAGTGGTCGCTGTGTTTGGTAGTATGCAGATGGCTGTCTCAAGGGTGATCAAACTGCAGCATCACCGTATTGCACAGGTAAACACACCTCACACATGAATGACACAGATCTGTAAAGGATGTGAATAATGGTGATAGAGTGTGTAACTCACCTCATCCCTCCCAGTGTCGCACGGTGAAGATCACCATCCTGGGAGATGAAGGAATGCCGGTCCAGGTGGATGGAGAAGCCTGGATTCAGCCTCCTGGAGTCATCAAGATTCAGCACAAGAACCGGGCCCAGATGCTGACAAGAGACCGCGTGAGTGTTTCTAGGGAAGAATCGTGATTTGGGGAATTTATTTCCACAATATTACCATAAAACAGGGGATTAGAACAGTTTTAATGAATAATTTGTCCAAAATGGCTTCATTAACACTAATGTTCAACAGTCTGAGATCCTTAAGATTTTTAATGTTGTTGAAGGAAGTCTCTTCTGCTCAGTAAGACTGTGTTAATTTGATCAAATATACAGTAAAACAGTAATATTGTGAAATATTACATTTAAAATTATTATTTTCTTCAATTAATCTTAATTTTAATATTAATTAATCTTCAATTGCACGCACAAAATGCAATTGCACGCACAAAAATGCGATTAAAGCTGCCTTAAAACTATCCATGCATGTAATATATTTTATATGAGTCACATTTAAGAACATGTCTCTGAAATGGTTTTCAAAACTGCCCTGGAGCAGCCCAGCACTGTCTCACTCATCTAAAACACCCGATTTAACTCGTCAGCTCATCAATAGATACTTTAAGACCTGAAGTGGGTCAGAAAAGGTATGTCAGAGCCGCATCACGTTCAGCAGCGGCAGCTCGTAAAGAAATAACAGCCAAAACAACCTAATAACCAGCTGCTGTGATGTCTATGTTAAATCAAAAGACAAAGAAAATAAGAGGAAAAAAAATAACTTTTATAGCTTTAAGGATTCATCTATATTTAATTTAGAATTTAGTGTTTGATAACTTCAATTTCAATTTCTGTATATTTCTGCTGAAGGGCACAGGTAAATATGACATTTATTATAATGGGTTTATGTGAAGATTGTTTTAAGTTCACTTAAATTAGAAGTTATTTTAACTAAGTTAGTAAGTCTAATAAATGTTCAAATTGATAGCTCTTTAAAAAAAAATCTTATTGACCCCAAACTTTTGAACCGTAATGTTTGCATATGTGGTTTTGTTGAGTATCATATTTGATACATCAGGCTTTTATGGTTCATAATATATTATGATATAGTGAGAACATGGAGCTCTTATTCGAAGAGGAAATACCACCTAAATGTTTATTCAGAGGCCCAAACTGAGCAAAAATACATTTGGTGCAGATGTTATTATTTATATGGTCAAAAGGTAGGCTGAAATTCTGTTTGTAATGTAAATCAATTAGATTTTTATAACACTGTAGAAGACAACTATATAAATATCAGTTGCCACTCTATATCTTCCAGTTATATGTCTTAGTAAGTAAGATGGTTTATAAGTGTCAATATGTGTAACTTTGCTAAACACTGGCTGTAAAACTCGTTATCATTTAAAAGAGTCTTGTATTTGTTTTTCAATAAAGGCATTTGAAAACACGCTTAAGTCTTGGGAGGATAAACTGAAATACGACAAGCCTCCGCTGAGGCCGCCCCTGTATCCTCAGCACTCTGTGGATCTGGCCACAGAGGAGGAGGCCACGCTCATCCAGATGTGCGCTCGAGCCGCAGAGGATCTCATCACCAGGATCTGCGAGGCTGCCAAAAACTACCAACTCCTCGAGCAGGAGCTGGCCCACGCCGTCAACGCCTCCTCACACGCCATCAACAAAACACACCCCAAGTTCCCCGAGGTGAGCAATGCCAGCACTGAAGGACCGTTCACACCAATGAGTTATCATCATTCATCCTCTATACTATTACAAAAACCTACTTTGTCTCCAAATCACACAATTCTAATCTGGGTTTGGTGTGAAAGAGTTCAAAGTTCTATACTGATTTTTATTTTCCAAAGCACATATAATCAGTCTCAGAGCACGTGATAGTTTTGTATGAAAATCGTTTTGCGTTATCATTAAAAACCGGTGCCTCTTTTGAAAAAATGAATGGTATTTTTACTTCAGGAAGCCAACTATTGTGCTCTGTTGTCCTCATAGTTCAAATAAGTCACATAATTCTGAGTAAATTCTCACGTCTGATTCATCTGTTCTCCTCAGAGCCTGACCAGAAACACTGCCATTGAGGTGGGCAGCACCGTGAAGGCCCTGCACAATGAGACCGAGTTGCTGCTAGTAGGACGAGTTCCATTGGTGAGTTGATTTAATGCTTTTAAGCTCATTTTCATTCACCTTTTCCAAGACATAAATGTTAATGGTTCTGCAAAGCAGGTCCCCATAAGGAAGAATAATCACATATGAGATCTTTTTAACATCTCCATTATTTCTCTTAAATTCTCAGTGCATTATTTGCACTGAGATGCAGAGCAAATGGAGTCTTACATCTGTTTTTTACATCTATGTTGAAAGCATTTTAGAAGAAGCATCTAATACAAAGCTTATACTTGGATGGAGTACATTTTCAGCAAATTTTCATTTTTGTGTACACTACTCCTTTAAATGAAACATAATTGACTATAATAACAGTCTTAAAGTGATAGTTCACCCAAAAATGAAAATTTGATGTTTATCTGCTTACCCCCAGGGTATCCAAGATGTAGGTGACTTTGTTTCTTCAGTAGAACACAAATAAAGATTTTTAACGCAAACCGTTTAAGTCTGTCAGTCATATAATGGAAGTGAATGGGAATCACGTGAGAGTCAAAAAAACATACACAAACAAAACCAAATTAAACTCTGCGGCTCGTGACGATAGATTGATGTGTAAAGACACAAAACGATCGGTCTGTGCAAGAAACTGAACAGTATTTATAACGTTTTTTACCTCTGATGCACTGCAATGTCTGAACTGTCCTGAGCGTGTCCTCGACTGTCCCAGCGTGTGACACGTCTTCTTCTTCTTCTTGCTTTACGGTGGATCGCAGTCAGACTGCAACGGTTTGAGTTAAAAAATCTTTATTTGTGTTCTACTGAAGAAACAAACTCACCTATATCTTGGATGCCCTGGGGGTAAGCAGATAAACATCACATTTGTATTTTTGGGTGAACTATCCCTTTATAAACTTTAAAGCAATACAATTTTCCCTCACCAGAATGACCATGCCAGATGCGTATGGCTATAGTAGTCCACAAAAAAAAACTTGAGGCTTTGATTCATTGACTCAGTCTGTGAGTTTATTTCTCTAGCAACTGGACCCTCCGCATGAAGAGCTGCTGTCCAGTGCCCTGCAGAGCGTTGAGGTTGAGCTGGGAAAGCTGGCTGAGATCCCCTGGCTCTACCACATCTTACAGCCCAATGACGAGGAGGTGAGCACATCCTGCAGAAACCGAGGGAAGCAGAAAAATAGCTCCCTTGAAGCTTGTTCCCTACAGGATAGTTTTCGGAAACATGCTGACATCATTTATTCACCCTCATGTCATTACAAACCTGGTTAACTTTCTTTTTTCTGTAAAACACTAAACCATGTGTACAGTGAAAGTCAGTGGGGTCAAATGTTGTTTGAACTTGATGTTCTTTCAAATATCTTTTATTTGTGAAGATATTCCTTTGTTCTATTAAAAATAAATATCATTTTTAAATTGGAAATGTGTATTTTACACATTAATATCATCCTTAATAATGCCAATAATAATAACAAAAAATAAAAATATTAAAATATGCTTAATATACCCAAGATAATTGAGTTTTTATGTATTTTTTTATGTTTTTCTTGATTTCATATTAGCAGGTGAAAAAGCTTCATTTAAGTTTTAGCCTCCAAAAATTGGCAAAATGGGTGTATTATTATTATTATTATTATTATCATCATCATCAGTATTAGTATTATTATCAATGTATATTTTACACATTAATATCATCCTTAATAATGCTAATAATAATAATAGTAATAATGAAAATAAATAAAAATATATATACTTAATGTACCCAGGATAATTTTGTTTTTGTTTTTAGTGTTTTTCTTGATTTCATATTAGAAGGTATGCTCCAAAAATGCGCAAAATATGTGTGTTATTATTATCATTCAATTCATTAATTAATTTTAATTAATAATAATAACAATAATACAAATATATTAGTGCAGATTTGATGGCACTAACCTCGAGCGACGAATTCTTCCTGGAGCTGTCTGCACTTAAAAAAAACAAATCTTTGTTGAAACAGTCCAGATTCCTGAGGACAGTGCATACTTAGTACATACTACTCTGGTAGTGATGATGGCAAAGGGATCAAAGTAGGCTCTCCGCCTGTTTACAAAATATAATCAGTCATATTCTTTGACATTTTCAGGCATGTTTAATGTCATAACAGATTTGCATACGTCCACACTCTTAAACTGAACATAGTTTGGACCTGGCTTTGACGTGTACGCCTGCTGCGGGGATTTAACACGCCATCCACAACAACAGAGTGTTTTGGGACTTTAGGAGCGTTAGGTCGCACAGGCTTCAGCCTCCCATTCCCTCCTCCTCCTCCTCTTCCTCCTCCTCCTCCTCTCTCTCCTGTCTCTGTGTCTGCTCTTAATGGGATGATGGTGGATGTGCCACTGTGATAACCTGCATGCCAGAAACACCTCCGGGTGTGCCAGTGACCTGTTTAACCCTCTCTTTGCCAACTGCTGCCGCCACTTCTCTCTGTGTCTTCTCTTTCCTGTTTGATTTGATTTTGGTCCCCTTTTCCTTTTGTGGTTGTTTTTGACTTGTTCCTCCTCTCGACCTGACCCTGTTTGCTTGTGTCCTGCGAGTGTACGGGGGTTGGACACTGAAGGGGGCTTCTCGCTCTGTACTTGTGTAGTTCAGAGGTGGGGCACTGAGGAGGTGGCCGTCTGGCTGGAGCAGCTCAGCTTGGGAGAATACAAAGAGACCTTCATCCGCCACGACATCCGCGGCTCTGAGCTCCTGCACCTGGAGAGGAGAGACCTCAAGGTATACACACAAACCCCTTTCTGTGCCTCACGATGTCCCTCAGAACAACCGAAACGCTCTTTCTCTGTCCATCTCGCTCTTTGACTCTCTCTCTGTCCTCTTACCTGTCACCCTGTTTGCTATTTTGTGCTGCACTGCTCTGCTTGGCTTCCTCTGTGCAAGTGTCGTTCGGGTCTCCGAATACTTACACGACTAACCACCTGACGCACGTAGGGTTATTTTAAGTCGGCTAGACTCTGAAGATGTGGTTGTGTGATGGGCAGCTGCACAACGACATGCCTGTGTTTGTGTAGCTCATGAGTACAGTCAACATGTTTATGTGTGTGTGTGATTCGGGGAGCGCTTTGAGCAAATCAGGCCCTGTTTACACCTGCTAGGAACATGCGGAAATGATTGTGAGGGGAAGATCTCGAATTTCTTGAGTGCTTACGCTACCGTTCAAAAGTTTGGGGTCTGTGAGATTTTTAAAAGAAGTCTTCTTTTAAGAGAAGATTGTGCTCACCAAGGCTGCATTTATTTGATCAAAATACAGTAAAAACTGTAATATTGTGAAATACTATTACAATTTAAAATAACTGTTTTATATTTGAACATATGTGACTCTGAAGGGTCACTTTTTGAAATTGAGATTTATACATCATCTGAAAGTTGAATAAATAAGCTTTCCATTGATGTTAGGATATATGACAATATTTGGTTGCGATACAATTATTTGAAAATCTGGAATCTGCGGGTGCAAAAAAACTAAATATTGAGAAAATCGCATTTAAAGCTGTCCAAATGAAGTTCTTAGCAATGCATATTACTAATCAAAAATTAAGTTTTGGTATTTACGGTAGGAAAGTTACAAAATATCTTCATGGAACATGATCTTTACTTAATATCCTAATGATTTTTGGCATAAAAGAAAAATCTATAATTTTTACCCATACGATGTATTGTTGGCTATTGCTACAAATATACCCCAGCGACTTAAGACTGGTTTTGTGCTCCAGGGTCACATATGTCTTTACTGTCACTTCTGACCAGTCTGACCCCATAACAGTGTTATTTTAGCATAGCTGAGATATACTTATTACAGTTTTATTAATATTTTCAAATTATATATATATACAGTATTTTGAGCATTTTGTGCTCCAGGGTCACATATTTTAAAATTTAATTTATTCCTGTGATTACTCCATTACTCCATTTTTACTGATTATTGATCACTCCATTACTCCATTTTTACTGATTATTGATCACTCCATTACTCCATTTTTACTGATTATTGATCACTCCATTACTCCATTTTTACTGATTATTGATCACTCCATTACTCCATTTTTACTGATTATTGATCACTCCATTACTCCATTTTTACTGATTATTGATCACTCCATTACTCCATTTTTACTGATTATTGATCACTCCATTACTCCAGTCTTCAGTGTCACATGATCCTTCAGAAATCGTTCTAATATGCTGATTTGGAGCTCAAGAAATATTTCTGATTATTGTCAGTTGTGCTGCTTAATATTTTTGTGGAAACCGTAATACTTTGAAACAGAAATCATTATAAATGTCTCTACTGTCAATTTTTTTTTAAAATCAGTTGTATGCATCCTTGCTGAATAAAAGTAAAAAAAAAAAAAAGACTTACTGACCCCAAACTTTTGTTCGAAAGTGTCATTAACTAACTATATCACAGTGTTACTGCATGTTGACAAGGCGGTATACAGTAAAAACAAGTACAGAACATTATTCAACATTTTTGCCAGAAATGTGATGTTTCAATTGCATTATTTTGGTCGAGAAACTATTTCAGATGTGTTTCACATGATTTTCACACATTTATTCACTAAATGCATTATTTGTGTCATTGTAAATCCGTGTATCATTCGATCATTCGTTTTTTGATTTAATATTGAAAGTAGAAAAATTAGAAAACGGCTCCTATTTCGTTTTTTAGTTTTTCTCCAAAAAACGAGAAACGAGAATTCAGCTTAAATTGTCGTTTTTCATTCATGGGTGGAAAAATGAATAAACAGCTTGAATATTTGATTTCTACATGTGGGCGGGAATTAAACGCCCCTTTCTGCTGATTGGTCAGCCGAAGATCAAACCGTGCCTTCATCAGTTCTTCTGCAGTATCATGCAGCAGAATAATAGTCCTCCACTGCTGCAGTTGTATGGATTCTTAACGCATTTATTGCAACTACATTTCATCTTTTTTCATCAAACAAACAGGCTAATGAATAGCTCGACACAACTCATACCGGGGCAGAGTCTAGGCAGGGCTTTCTTCTGTGTAGATATAAATTGGCATGGCAGGGTATGATATGACAGATGTCATAGCCTACCCTGCTCACCCAGTAAGTCTGTTTGTTTAATTAAGAAATTAATTCAAGAAATATTTCTGATTATTGTCAGTTGTGCTGCTTAATATTTTTGTGGAAACCGTAATACTTTGAAACAGAAATCATTATAAATGTCTCTACTGTCAATTTTTTTTAAAATCAGTTGTATGCATCCTTGCTGAATAAAAGTAAAAAAAAAAAAAAGACTTACTGACCCCAAACTTTTGTTCGATAGTGTCATTAACTAACTATATCACAGTGTTACTGCATGTTGACAAGGCGGTATACAGTAAAAACAAGTACAGAACATTATTCAACATTTTTGCCAGAAATGTGATGTTTCAATTGCATTATTTTGGTCGAGAAACTATTTCAGATGTGTTTCACATGATTTTCACACATTTATTCACTAAATGCATTATTTGTGTCATTGTAAATCCGTGTATCATTCGATCATTCGTTTTTTGATTTAATATTAAATTTAAACTGAAATTTCATTTCTCGTTTTTTGGAAAAAAAACGAAAAAGGAGCCGTTTTCTCATTTTTCTATTTTCAATATTAAATCAAAAAACGAATGATCGAATGATACACGGATTATTGTATATGACAGTCGTTCTCAACTGGTGTCTCGTGACACAAACAGTGGCAGGTCTGAAATGCAAATTTAAAAACTCATATAACAATGCATAGTGAGAATAGGAAATATCAACTTTGTAAGATAGGAGAAAACACCAGCAAAACCAGTTGAGAACTATAATATAATATATAAACTTTTTGTGATCAAATCCCAAAACCGACTCCATTTACATCTGTTTAGTGTTGTTCGTTTGTGATCAGATCTTGTGAGACTGATGCAATTATGAGATATAAACAGGACCTCACTTACAACATTTTATTGGTTCTAGCTGTATAGTGGAGCTATGTTAAACAATGAAACTGTCTAGGATTATCACTTGAATGGTCCAATATATTAAACAGTTTAGCACAGTGATAGATCACTATAAACATCCTGGCCAGAAACTCAATGACGCTTTCATGTGTACTTGTTGAAGTAATAAATATATCATAATAAATTCAATAAAGGTGCTATAAATGCTCGTGGATCACACCTCCCAGTGTTGAAGAATTACATAAAGGGTTGGTGAAAGCAGCTCAGTGTTGTGTAGTGAACATGTGTGAGATGCTCTGGTCACACTTCTTTTCACAAACACTAGTGAACCTTGGACTGTGCCATTTTTTACGCCTCTGTTATGTCCCCCCATTTCAAACGCCCCTGCCATTTATCTGGTGGTCTAACCTCATTCTGTCTTTAGGGATGTCCTCAAACATACTTTGAAAACTTATTTGGGACATAAATAGATCTGAGTGTTTCAGCTGTGAACCAATCAAGCTCAAATTCAGCAGTATTGTGACATTTGCATTGTTTTAACCCGAGGTTAACCTGGGTTGTTGTGTTTCCTTAACTATTGATCAACTGATATTGGTGTTGTAATGGCCGATGCTGATAGAAATATCTAGAGAGCAGAGTGGACGGCGACCAATATAATGGCAATATATAATTAAAATAATAGCAGATATAGTACACAAATTGCTTAAATGGAAACTTACTTTAACAAAATGAATCTGTAGCCTATGAGGCATCTGTGTAATGCCTCGTTTAGATTAGCCTGACTGCCACTAGATGTCACGTTTTCTGTGGCTTTATCTCAAACCTACTACACAGATGGTTTTATTACAGTTTGCTCAGGGAGACGCCAGAGTCAGGAATTTCCATAATCATTTTAAATTGACAGTTTGACTGATTATCAGTTTAAAATGATTGTGGAAAAGCCTGACTTTGATTGCATTAAAGTGTATGGTCAATACTGCAAAACATACATTCAAGACTCCTATATATATATATATATATATATATATATATATATATATATATATATATATATATTTTAACTACAAATTAAATAAAAAATAGTCTTACTTAAAGGGTTAACTGTAGCATTCGCTTTTGCCAAAAAGTAGGGAAACTTCACCACCCATAATGCACTGGACTCGATACAACTGTCTGTGAGCAAAAACAACCTATACTTTTCACAAAAGCCCCAGAGCTGTCAGAAGTCCAGCGGATGATGCAGAATGAGGCATTTTACGTTGACTTTTGCTATCAAATAAATGGAATGTCTCGGTGCGAGTGTCACACGGAGAAAGTGTACACGTTGTTCATTTAACATTGTAATACAGATGTGACATTTTCTTCAAATCAAATTGTATTGCGTGGGACATAAAATATTTAAGTGCTATTTTAATATGTGTTTTAATTTTATTACATTTGAACTTTATTTTAAGGTGTCTCTGTTACAATGTAGTTCAACAAATCAGTACGGAGTAATATTAAATAAAACCTGTACTTACTATAGCAGGGTTCCTCAAATCTTGCCCTGGAGGGCCAATGCGCTGCAGAGTTTAGCTCCAACCCTGACCAAACTCAGCTATCTGTGATTTTCTAATGATCCTGAAGACATTGATTAGCTTGCTCAGGTGTGTTTGATTAGGGTTAGAGCTAAACTCTGCAGGAAAGTGGATCTCGTGGGCCAGATTTGAGGATCCCTGTACTATAGCTTTAGGGTTAGGTGATTTAGGATTGGTTGCAAAGACACTAAAATAAAATGCTTTGAAAACACTTGGTTTAAACTTGGGATAAACTGAAGCTTAGTTGGTTTATGATATCAATAGTGCAATAAAAGTGTTTTAATCCGCAAAACAAAAATCCAAAAGAATCAAAGAGTAATTAAATGCAACAACTTATACATACTTTTTTACGTGATCTGAACTCCTGAAGGTGTGAGCTCTGGAAACGCCTCGTTCTGAGTGCACTTCTGTTTGTCTGCTTCCTCTAGGATCTGGGGATCTCGAAGGTGGGTCATATGAAGAGAATTCTCCAGGGAACTAAGGACTTGGCCAAGAGTTCGATGGTGGACCTGTGAGAGACGTCAACACACATTCCGTTCGTGAGCGAAGAGGAGTTGAAGCGGGAGCTCCGGCGTGGGAAACGCTTGGGTGTTGTGGATCTTTGTAGCTTGTAGAAAAGCTAGAAATGTTTGTTTTGGTGCCAAAACGACAAGGATTGTGTCCGAGACTTTTAGCCCCATAGAAAAGCCATTCCTCACTTATCGCATCAACGGCACAATCAGGTATGCAATTCTCATCGTGCACGCGACCTCTGGCCTCTTTAAACAGATTCCAAATCAAGTAGCAGAACAGGACTTCCAAACCGAGAGGAGAGGAGCACACGGCCTCTGAGTAGCTCACTGGCTCTTTGCCTTGCGGTAGATGGCAACAATAGCAGGGCGATGTGATGTGTCAGCAATATTCTGCACTGTTTACATTTTAAGGAGACGGGAAAAAGTCTGCTGGTTTATCGCAATCAAACGGCAATCATCGCAGTGCGGCGGTGCAGTCCAGGAAAGGTCAAAAGGGGTTTCCTTCGCCAGTGACATACTGATGCATGGTATGCTTGCTATATTTGGATAGCTGTTTTACTGCATGATCTGCGTCTTGTTTTTTATTGTACAAACTAACACTTGAACAAGTTTTATATGAATTTAGTATGATGCCATTTGTTACTACTGAAGCATCCCTTTGGTCAAAGTAGACTGCTGATTTATTTCTATTTATCTGTCTGCATGGAAACCTCGTGTCAAAGCAGTGTCATGTGCCATATTTATTGTCATATGAGCTTTATTGGTAAGAAATGTTTTAATCTTACAGTAGGACGTTAGGTAAGTCGGTGAAATAAGTACCAAAGCGAATGTCCCCTGGTTTTTAAAGCGAAAAGAACATTTCAAAAGTTTAATTCCCCCCTCCAAAATGTTTGAAGTATTCATCGAAAATGGTCAAACCTGAAGTGGTTCGGAAAAACATGAACACTGCGACTCTTTGTAGCTTAAAGCATATTATTATACATTAGTTGAAATAGGATTTTTGAATAAGAAATTGCAGTTGACCTGCAACTTTACATAGTTGATATTTACTGAGTTCAGGAACCCAGTGCAAGTTTGATAGGATCATCTACATTTGGTTGGTGGCATTACAGGGTATAAGATATTGTTTGTTTGTTAATATATGCACTGTATATAAGTCTAAACTGTTAACTCCAGTTATGAGTAAAGCCTTTGTATAATAGAACGCTTACATGATATTATCAGATGACACATTTATTTGTGTATAGAGCACCATAACACCTTTGTGAATTATTCTGTTAAGTAATCGCCTTTACACGTTAAGTGCTGTTGTACTCTATGGAAGGTGATATATTGTATTTCTTTTGATTCATTTCTTCTCTACGAAGCTTTATTATGTGAGCTTTTTCCATGGAAAACTAAAAAGATAAACTTCACACACTCTTTTTTTCGGTTTTGGATTAAGGTGGACTTTGGGTCAGACAAATCATGCCATGTTCTCTCCAAAATTCATAAATCTTCCATGAGCAAATTGTTAATCCTGTCTAACCGTGCTTCCAGGATAATTTGCTAGACGGCTGGATGTTTCCTCATACCGACTATAAAACTGTTGTGCCTCTATTTTTTCCGCAAAATGGAAAATTTCGAGCTCGGAGCTTCACGTAGTTCTACATAAGCCAACCCGACCAACAGCGCACACGGGACTCATAACAGTGGATTTTAGGTTTATGTTATATTATAACGTTCCTCGAGAGGGTGTTCGATAACATCTAAGTAGTACTTGATAAATATACAGAGCGAAAGTGAGTAGTGTCGGAAAAGATGTGGTGTTCCCAACCAAGAAATCCAATTCTACCCACAATTTACCTGAAGTGAGAATTCAAACAAATATGGAGGATGAGAACAGACCTGGAGGATGGGGTTTGGTCTGTTGGGTGGAACCGAACGGGATGTTTTTAAAAAGAAAAATACACATTTGAAGAGTTCGTTGAGAGTTTAGGCATTACTATGAAATGATGGGATTAAAAATGAGACGACAGCGTTCATTAATCAATAATAGATTATATTAGTGGTTCTCAACTGGTTTTGCTCCAGGATCTGGATTTTGCGATCAACATCTCATGGCGCCAAACAAGGAAATGTCCTTAAAAGTCATTAATATTATCATGAACTGACAATTTTGTGAATGCGCAAACAGTAAAAGTGTGATTTACACTTTTTATAGCTTGTGTGTTTGTTTTCTAAATGTCAGTGATGGTTTTATGCTCTCGGCAGCCACACAAAACACATTGTGGTCTGCACAAACCATGTTTATTCTTGTTGTAAGTGAACCCGCATTTAATGTAGTTTGGCCTTGTTCATATTGGCATCTGTGCAATACATCTAGTTTCCACCAAATGAAAGACGAACTTAATACCGTCCAGTTTGATTGGGCGCATAATGCTGGACGTACAAAATGAAAAACGAGGAAAACAGTTTCTCCTGTCTTTTAAAAGTTGATAAGCCTATTTATAACTAGACACAACTATACAGTTTAATTGCATTCTAGCTGCTGAGAACCACTGGCGTCCATGATAAAGGCACAACAGTGCAGCCTGCATTTTTCAGAAATCCATTTCATTTGACCGTTGCGGTTTAATTGGCAAACTTAATGTCTCTCACTTCCCGTCTTTTCTCAGTAGTGAGCACCTACTGAGGTTTCAGCGTCTGCCTGTAGGCATTTCAGATTGGCTGTTTAATGGCAGGCCCATGTGAAATCTGCGCCAGCATCCTTGAAGTTTTACACATTCCCTTTCACTTGCGTATTCGTTTAGGAAATATTTGGGCCTTTCAACTACCACTCAGTCTCTGTATAACACATTATTCCTTTTTAAAATCCATTCACAGACATTTTCTCCAAAATCGGTGCAGAAATTGTCACCTGAGCTTAATAACAGGTAAGCGAAAGAAACTAATCTGATAAACATTTGATCTGACAATCAAATGGTGCATTTATAGCAACTGTTTGCGGTTATATAATATCGAAACCTATGTCCACATACCTCCACGCATTCTGAAAAACGACTGAATGTAGGCCTACTGATATGCTTTTCAGATATGCGTTTCTGAGTGACCGCATTACAAAAGGTAATTTCCCCAACTAGCTAAACTCATGACCAAAGACACAAGAATGCTACGAAGCCTGGTTTAATTGGCCTTACATGATCTCTGTTTGACAGCTGTAGCAGATCGACCTTGTATATGGTGCCTCTGTATAGTTCATTTGTTCACAACAGACTCAAATCACACAAGTGCAGTCTTCCTCTCATGCCACACTGAATACATGTGCACATGATCACATGAACCTCAGTTCAGTTCTCAAGCCACCACTGAGTGTTTTTCATTGGATTGTGAGTGACAGTGGGATTCGGCTTCTTGATGATGGTGAACGTAAAGCTGTAAACTGCCTGGTTTTTCAAAAACAAATTCATTTGGGGAATTTGTAGAGCAAGGCAACATATCTTTGACATGATTTATATCCAGTTAAGAGAAGTGCGATGTGAGTTTCATTTGTTTACATTGTGTTTACAATGGCACAGTTTCATTTTTAAGACTACATGTATAGGTATATTTACAATACTTGCATATTTATTAAGGTTAAACAACTGACGTGTATGTGTTTTCACTATTGGGATATAATGTTACGGTAGTCACTTGTATTGATATCTGGATGATTTTGGTAAGTAGTAGCCTAGGTAATTTTTATGACTACTAAGTGACTGTTTTCTGTGCCTTTTTATCGTAGATGCATGGTTAACTATTTATTACAATATGGAGGTCACTGAGATGTGTATTTTTGTATCCTGATTAAATAAGTGTTTCGATTTTGATGTACATTTTGAGGTGGTAAAGCGCTGCCAGTTGATATCTTCCTTCTTCAATAAAATTGAATGCATACACAGTACACTCTGTGTCTTGGATGTTTGACTTATTAATTTGATTTTGTCTTGTAAGTTTCATTAGATATGCATTAACACACCATAGAATTAACACATTGGAATAACAGACATATTTTTCAATAATGCTATATGACATTATAGTAGAGATATAGTAGAAATATTAACCTCACACATATACCTCAGATCTGGAAACTGTACAGTATAGATAGATTTACATATTTTATATAGATTTACATAGTTTACAAATTTATATATATATATATATATGTAATAGAGAGAGAGAACATATTATTTTAATCATTTTAATGTATTATTATATTATTACATAGACTCAATAGAGATATAGTAGAAATATTAACCTCACACATATACCTCAGATCTGGAAACTGTACAGTATAGATAGATTTACATATTTTATATAGATTTACATAGTTTACAAATGTATATATATATATATATGTAATAGAGAGAGAGAACATATTATTTTAATCATTTTAATGTATTATTATATTATTACATAGACTCATGTTTGAGATAGAGACACATCCGGTAGAAAAATGAATGTGAGGAACCACAATAAGAGTACAAATCAGATTTGAATAAGAACCCCATTAATTTTATCTATAGACAAATTGATTTTCAGCAATAAAACGAGTTAAAGAGTTAAGTGATGGTATGCTTCTGTAAAGGTGTGATTTATAGCTTAATTCCCAGTCCAGAACTACATTACCCATAATTCTGAAGAAAGTTCCACCAATCAGAGAAGCCGGTGTTACCATGGAAACAAAATTGCTGTACTTAACTGACATGTCAAATTCTAAAATATAGACTTTGTTCTCATTAGGAAGCGAACTGTAGACTTCACAATTCTCTGGTAAATTCATTACATTGTTTCTATAGCCTGTTATTTTCGTTGTAATCCCCTCCAAGAAAACACGAGATGTCAGAAACAATGTTAAAACAATAAAATACTACATTAAATTGTATTTATTTTATTTTGCAAGTGGATCATACTCCCATCATTGTCTCTGCGCTCAACTTCTCCCAGCCGCCGCTCTGGGTTCGATTACTTTCGCCTGCTCGTCTTGTTTTCGTGAAATGAACGGACGTGAGAGCAGCTAGCTGCCCACTGCACGGCTCTGTCACTACAAGGTGAGACGCGCTCCATTTTCATTTGTATGTCGTTTTCCAGCATTCATCCCATATCGCAGAGTAGTCACAAACCCATCGAAGGGTGTCCAAGATGCGGATGTTATCGCAGGCCTGATGCTAATGCGCGAGCCAGCTGCGTCTGTAATGAAATCCTCAGGCGTTAGCATTAACCGCACAAAAACATATTTCTGATGATGCTTTTGCGTGCATTGTTCGTAAATAAATTCAGTCATAATGCCTGTCCCGTGGCGATACCTGAAAATGAAAACAAATCCTCAAACCAAAAATGACCGAAAAGCATCGGGTACGACATAAACATGATTGCAGATTAACAGTCGTGAAGAGCATCGAAACGTGTGTTATGAGAGTCAAACGGCGGATTGTCGTCGTGCTGTCAGAGCTGGAGAAGCGTGTTTGAAGCGTTATTGACAGTGCTGCAAATGCTGAGTATTAAAATCAGGGTGTTGTTATGGCAGGGATCACACCCTGTGTATTGCGTTGTGCACTCAGCCCCACTCCCCTTGATAAGCTGGGAACAGCCAGTGAGCTCATAAACATCTGTTGGTTTCAGGAAATCCTTTGACCCTGCTGATGCTCGCATGCTCATGTTGATGTCCTCTTTCTCAAGAAGACGCCGCTGGGCTTCAGGCTTGCTGTAAATGTGCTCTTTTTGTTCTTAGACGTTTTTTTACCTTTGCAGTCCCCACACACACCCACCCACACACAGACACACACACAGACACACCCACCCACCCACACACACACACACACACACACACACACACACACCCCCACACACACACACACACACACA